TGGGCAATTTAGCAAGCCCCTGTCTCAAAATAAAATATTAAAAGCGGCTGTGGATGTGGCTTATAGATAGAGTTCTTCTGGATTCAATCCTCACTACTGTCACAAAAGCTCCTTTTGTAATAAACTTTTTTCTGACTCTGCATAAATTTTTCAGACACATTTTTAATTTTACCAAATGAGAGCAAGTACAATTAGAAACATGAATACTAATAGAGGGTGCTGCTACAATGGTTCATTCTCTAATGAGATTTTTGAAGCAATATATAATGGTATTTAAAACGTCTTTTGGAAGCTGGGTATTAATCCCAGCTATTTGGGAGGCTAAGGTAGAATGATCTCAAGATCAGGACCAGCCTGGACAACGTAGATTAATACTATCTCAAAAATTTTTTTTTTTTTTTAAATATTTTTTTTATTATTTTTTAGTTTTCGGCAGACACAACATCTTTGTATGTGGTGCTGAGGATCGAACCCGGGCCGCACGCATGCCAGGCGAGCACGCTACCGCTTGAGCCACATCCCCAGCCCCTATCTCAAAATTTTAAGAAGGGTTGGATGTAGTTCAGTAGTAGAGGGCCCCACTACTACTTACAAAAAGAAAAAGGAAAAAAAAACACAATGATCTTACTTCCTAGGAACATGGGATATATACTGTACTAAAAAAATATGGCTTACCAAATGAGTGCCAATGAGAAGACTTAATAGTTCCTAAACAGTACCCTGTAAATTAGGGAAAGAAAATCCAACAAAGAAGCCACACACAAAATGTACAGGTTTCATTTTTATGGATTTGATAGTCAAGTGCAAATTTGAGCATTATATACAGAGATGTTTTCATAGTTGTATTGGCTAAGACCAGACTCTCAAAATTCAGCATAAGCTTGAGTCACCTAGCTTTTTCTGCAAGTTGTAACAATCTAATCAAATACAGTATAATAAAATTCTTATTTTCTTTATAAATTCCTCTTGCTCAAGCATTGGCATTTTAGATGCATAGCCAGAGTTCTAAGCAGTTCCTGATGGCTGAATTACTTGGATTTATGTACCATAGTAAAATTTAGTTTTATACACAGTGCAAAAATTTGCTCCCCTTTAGTATCTCTAAATAGTAGAGATGCAGTAGCATTAAGGATTTTCACCAAGGACCTGTGTTTGCAGTCCTTTCCCCTGTAATAGAATGTATTACCTGGATGTTTCATACTTCATGGTTACTGGCAATAGAAGATAAACACCTGATGCATGCAGAGCTGCTTGGAATGGTAACTAGTGATTTGTCCATATATGGATTGCACAGATTGGAAAAGAAGCATCACACTATCTGATATTTTACCAATTGAAAGAGTAGCTTGAGATTATACTGCATTATCATTGTGAAACAGTCAACTTTCTTAAGAAAGTTTAAGTTTAAAGTGCACTGTCCCCTGCAGCTCAATATAAATAACCATTTATTTCTCTGTAGTAATATGTTGAGTCAGATGGGTTTTCCATCCGATTTAATCCCTGAGCAGCTATGTTAAAAATCAGCTTTTAAAAAAGCCCAATAGAAAAAACTACTCTATTAAAATCCTACCACAATGTTATAGTGATAAACAGGTATCTATACAGAAACATTAAAGCTACTTAGAAGCTCTTTACATTCTTTACTCCTCAGAGAATATACATTTCCAGAAACTGTTCAGGTATTTAAGCTGGACAAAACTCAAGGTTTACTTGACCCCCCAAACTCCTCTATATAGAGATAATTTGTTGAGGAATAAACTACCCCACTCCCCATTGATTACCAGCAATGATGAATGTTTTATTAAAAATACAGTATTTTTAGTCAGGCGCAGTGTCGCACACCTATAATCCCAGTAGCTTTGGAGGCTGAGGCAGGAGGATCACAAATTCAAAGCCAGCCTCAGCAACTCAGCAAGGCTCTAAGCAACTAGAGAGACCCTGTTTCTAAGTAAACTATAAAGAAAGGGCTGAGGATGTGACCAAGTCAGAAAACACAAAAACAATATTTCGCTCTGTTTCCTGTTCATCCAGTGAGCTGCTTCCCTATGCCACATGCTTCCGCCATGACGTTCAGCCTCACCTGGAGTCCCAAGGAATGGAGCCGTCACTGAGACCTCTGAAACCTGAATGGAAGTTCTAAAAAGATGACCCTTTATCAAGATTTCTCAATATAACTGATTCTGGCAATTCCTGCCTTACATTGGATGAGGTCAACTATAAAACTCATATCAAGAATGTCCCAAAAGAAGAATAACACGAAGCTGCTAATCGGTCCAGGAAAACATGAAGCAAAAAATGACCCTGGGAAACCAAAAAATAGAACCTTATCTGACAACAGTGATGCTGAGAGTCAAAAGGAAGACATGGTTGAAACCACTCTTGTACAACCAATCAACATAAAGAGCAATTACAATCCCTTCTTTTCATCAGTTGGTTCAAAGAGCAGCTGGTTCCAGGACCTTAAGGGCTTTCTTTGCCTCAGGAGGAGCCAGGAAGGTTGCAGCTCTGACTTGAGAACATGTTCAGCAAGAGGAAAACCCCTGTCTATCCCTGAAGTCTGAGGAAGGTCTTTGCCAAAGCTTCTAGAGAAGTTTTTCTTAATTATCCAACAAGGAAGTGTTTGCTTTCTAGAAAGTTCCGAAGTACTTCTTTTGGTGCTTTGGATACAACAGAGAACAAAAACGGACAAAAGATTCCTCTCTCTGGAAGTGTACATTTCTCTGAGACACAGAAAATATTTAATATAAGTTACATGAAATGTTTGGAAATAAGTGTTATTGAAATGAAAGAAGAAAGACAATTTGGAATGTCCTCTCTTGGTAGGAATTAAATGAGGCTAACAAGTCACAAAGGATGATTTCAACAAGAAATGAAAGCAACTGCAAAGCCCTCTGTAATGCAAAATTCATCATAAATTCTATGAAAATGAAATCACCAGTAGAAAGAAAGAGGAGTGATCCATTTTTAATCCTGAATAAAGTCCTGCAAAAACAGCCCATTACCAGTGTGACACTGCTGATTGATGGACGGATAGAACTCAAGAGAGGCCTACAGAGGCAGAAGTAGCATCTCTTTCTTTACAGTAATCTATTCTGATGAAAATCAAACATAACTTAAAGGTAAAAAACAAAATAAAACTGATATGTGCAGAGCAAGCTGTGTAGATGAAACGGGAGAGGGGAACATCAATTCTGTGACATCCTTTGTCTTGGGCTGGCCCGCAGTGAACAACTTGGCCACTTTTAGATCTCCAGAGCAAAAGGACAAATGGCTTTCTCTCCTACATCAATCTGAAGAAAGAGAAGGACTATCCAGAGGATTCCCATTAAAATATTCACCAGGGACATTGGGAATTGTGTCTATGTAAGTGTTTGTAAGCCATAAAATTAAATTCAGAATTCTTGCATAAGGCAGAAAAGTCCATGGTTAAAAAGAGAGACAATCAGGCAGGGAGAGAGTGCACATGCTATGGAAGTAAGTGTGTAGAAATATCATGAGGAGCTAGGCATGGTGGATCACACCTGTAATCCCAGGAAGCTCAGGAAGCTGAGGCAGGAGGACCATGAGTTCAAAGCCAGCCTCAGCAACTTAGTGAGGCCTTCAACAACTGAGAACCCGTCTCTAAATAAAATATAAAAAAAGGCTGGGGATGTAGCTCAGAGGTTAAGTGACCCTGGGTTCAATTTCTGGTATCCCCCCCAAAAAAAAGAAACATCATGAGGGCGAAACATTTTCTAGGGTGTGTGTTATCTTTGTGTGTATAAAAAGTAAACTAAAAGAAATGGAACAAGAGAAATTAGTATTGATTCAGGTATTTCATATTTATGCTTGGAAAGATTATTGCGTGTCAGATGTATCTTTCTTCCCTCTGATGTGAATGTTTCTCTCAGACCTTTTTAAGAGAAAATGGAGAGGCTTAAAGATACTTCCACAGGGAGGGATTCCCTATTAGCATAAAGCAAGTGTCTCCAGACCTGTCACTTCTTGAAAGTGATTTTGAAAAGTTCTTCATGCTTTCAGATTTTCTAGTTTGAGTATTTCCAGATAAAAAGTGGATGATCTGGGATAGAGAATATTTTTAATGGATTCGATTGTTTATATCATATCAATATCATATTGTCAAAGATTAAATCTTTTACCCAAGTTATTATGTATAATTTTTTGACTGAAGTTGTCGTACAACAGCAAAGATTTTATCAATGAGGAAAAGATGGAAACATTTTTATAATACTATCAATTGTCATACTTCACAGCAGCTCAAGATCACAAGGAATAGTTTTGCTTGTGGAAAATATGTAGAGCAAAAATGTTACAGCTCAATAAAAATAAAAGATTATACAAAAGTTCTGACCAAAAAAAGCACAATATTTTCTTCTACCAAGTCAGGCTAAACATCCTAGCCCCCTCTTATGAATGATAAAAATATACTTAAAAAGAAAACTTTCTGGAGAACTTTTCAGGAAGTCAGTAATGGTAAGAACAAGCTGATTTGTGGAAGAACCAGTTCAAGTTTAAGAATTCTCTACAATAAGGTCCACAGGAACTGTTAGATTTCTGTGGACATAACTGTAACCATTTCTAACAGAAATAAGTACCTAGACAACCCTAAATACGGGCTAAAAAGTCAAATTGCTCAGACTACAGATAATTTTATAAATAAAGACCAGGCCAGATTAAATTTAGACAACTGTGCACCAATGAGACCCTTTAATGGAGGTGAGCAATCAGGAGACAGTCTGAAAAGAGCTCATGGGACCCCGATTGAAGAGACTGCCCACTTTCTTTGAAGAAGCAGTTTGGGGCTGGGGATGTGGCTCAAGCGGTAGCGCGCTCGCCTGTCGTGAGTGCGGCCCGGGTTCGATCCTCAGCACCACATACAAACAAAGATGTTGTGTCCGCCGAAAACTAAAAAATAAATATTGAAAATTCTCTCTCTCTCTCGCTTAAAAAAAAAAAAAATAAAAAATTAAAAAAAAAAAAAAAAAAAGAAGCAGTTTGGCCCCCTGCTTAATGGATTGTGCAATTCACTATGTAAAGTAATGACAAAATTGCATTTTGGAACAATTAAGCACAACTTTTATCATGCTTAATCTTGGTTGCTTCTAGGTCCAAGCATTCTCCGGGGAAAGATTATTTGCTTTTGATATAAACTAGCTAATAAGAACCTTTAGTCTTTCCCCAGTAGGAAGAGACTGTGTAGATCCTCAAATTCCCTCTGACAAATGTAGACAATGAAGGTTAGAGACATCTGCAAAGCCAGATGTCCCCATGTCCCTATAAAGAAAAAAAGACAGAAAATCAACAAGATACAAGACTATAACAGCCAGTTGTGGTGAATGGGAGGAGTAGATGCCCTCTGGGTTCTCACTGACCATGAACCTCTTCCTTCCCTCTTACCCCCAGCACCTCTGACCAGGGGCCCTGCTCACAGAGAAACAGTTGAAACAGAGCACAGAATTACTCTTCATGTGCACACATTTATAGGTGCTCAGTTAAAGAGAAAAATGACAACTGGGTGTGTAAGGAGACTACTACACCAACAGGTTGGTTTCTTGTGTCTACATCTGACATGATTCAGAAGGTACAATCAACTTTCACCCAAGTAACTTACATGTCTCCTGAAAGCACTGATGTGGACATGCGCCAAGGGCCAAGAGACTCCTTCACTGATCTCTGGTTCGAGATGGGCAAAGACTAGTCTGCACCCTGAGACATGAGGCTCAGTAGGGATGGCCATCCCAGGAGATAAGAGACAACAGCACCTCCCTCTTGAAACTTCTACAGAAGTCAATTTCTTATGTTTCTACTTTAAAGCTGTATAAAGAATGACATTAAATAGAATCAAGGACAACATCCAAGCTCCATGCCTGTCAGTCACAAGAACTCATGGTATCTTGTTGTACTTAATTCACATCAGATAGAAAACAGTAACATTATGCATAATGGCTCATAATTTACTATGTGTGTATCTGTGTCAGGCAAAGCTCTAGGTAATTTTCCATTCATTTTCTCTCAACTTCATGACACCAATCTTATAAGTTAGTATGATTATTATCTCCAATTGAGGCTCACGAATTAACTAAGTTACCCAAAGTCACCCACCGTGGACCAAAAGCATAATTCTGAAATGCCCAAGGTTGAAATGATATGTACACATCTACACAGTTCAGTCTGAGGAGTTTCAGCAAAGATGATTTCAAGCCTCTGGAGATTAGGCACATATAGCTGTGCTGAAACTCACAGCTTCTCGAGGTGCCAGCCTGGGAGTATGCCACGAGGCCACTGTGGTCCAAGCTCCAGGCACAGCCACAGTGCCACAGCCTGGGGCAGCTCAGTTTCTGGTGGTTCTCAGCTTTCTCCTGAAGTACTCAGGGGCAGCCTCATACAGCCACTCAGCATCCACGACGCAGAGGTCTCTCATGTAGCACTTGTTGGTGTACAGCAGCTCAGTGTATACGACGCAGGCTGGCTTGCAGTGGAAGAGGACAGATGAGGGATGGATGGCCACTGGCTGGTGGGTGTCCGTGGTGGCATAAGTACCATCAGGCTGGAGCTCAGCAGTGCTCATAAAGAGGCTGTGAGCCAAGCAGCGGCGGATGCTCTCCATGTCTCCTCGTGATGACATGACTGGCATTGACATCTGTTTCAGGAGATATGGAGAGATGGAAAGACCCCAAACATAAACACTGCTCAACACTACACAAGTGCATTGGAACAACGGGACCTAAAATGAAGCATCCTGCCAAGTCTGTCAAAACACACTTTGACATTCTACAGTGGTTGACTCAATGGCCTTAGGCATCAGCACAGGCAGGGGATGAAGGCACAGTGCAAGAGAAGACTGAGAACAGAAATATTTGCCAGGGAGCATTCATGCAATGACCAGACCACAGGCAGGTCCATCAGGTCATCCCTGGAAGGAAAAGCCTTTCCCTTTCATTTTGACCACATCATCTACTGCTCACTCACATATTGCTGCCAAATTAATCTTCCTGAAGCACAACTCCAGTCCCTCTTCATTCACTCAAAACCCTTAGTGTCTTTATTGCTGTTGGCAAAAAGTGCAAAGTTCCTATGATAAAGCTGAAGATGAGCCACTGCCAGGCCACCCCATCAGTTCTTGGCCCCACCCCTCTTCTGCAGACATTCTCTATAATCAATAGTCTTTTCTTCTCTAGATCCATGCATTGACTCTTAGCTGTTGGCCCCTGCATATGCCGCTCCTACTGGAAATGCTGTCCTCATCTCTGCATTGAGAATGTCAGTCATCAGTCAATGTCCTTGCTCTGTGCCCTTGCTGAGTGGGTAGTGGAACCTTGTACCACTGGTTATGGCTCAACAGACCAGTGGTGGACACTTACTTACCTGACCTAGGCTAGCATGTTTAGGTCTAAAATAGGAGATCTAATCAATCTCTGTCAGGCTCCTGCTCACCGGCCCCCGGGTGGATAGACCATGTAAAGCCATCATGTGCATGTGGAGGCAGAAGTGAGAAGGAGAAACAAAGCAAGCAGACAGAACAAGAGAACCAGCGATTCCTGATGGCTTGTTCCAGTCGCTTATTCCAGTCTCTTGTGAAGTATGACTACTTCCTGTCCTCTTCATCCTTTGAAACATCCCCCATTTTCCTCAAGGGCTTTTGTTTTTGGCAATCAGCTGTTCCTTTTTATTTTTTTTCCCTAGTGTCCTGTGATCAAACCCAGAGTTCTCATACATGCTAAGCAAGTGGTCTCCCATTGAGCTACATTCCCAGCCTTTTCTTTTAAATTTTCTTTTGCAACAGGGTCTTGATAAATTTGCCTTGAACTTGTGATCCTCTTAACATGGACTCCTGAGTAGCTGGGATTACAGATATGTGCTGGCCAGCTTATTTCTTGCCTTTATCTCATCTGTCAAGATGGAGCTCAAGGTGTAGCTTAATGGTAAAACATTTGCCTAGCATGCATAAGGCCCTAGGTTCCATCCCAAGCATAGCAAACAAAGTTTATAAATCTGAACATAAACTATATGTACATTTCTCTTTCTCCCTCCCTCTCTCTCCCTCCCTCTCTCTCTCTCTCTCTCACACACACACACACACACATACAGTAACTGTAAAAAATGAAATAATTTAAAAAATAGTGTTATTATGAAGTAGAACAAAATAGTAAAAGGTAGAATTATGGGTAATTCTTACTTCCTACTTAGTTTTAAATTTTTTTACAATGAGAATTCCTTTTATAATCACTAGTGATAGGCAACTTAAAATATTACCCTAGAAAAGACTGACAGGTTAGTTCCCCAAAGAGCATCAGGAAGAGACAATACCTTTAGGCAGATTTCCCTCAGTTGTGCTCTCACTTCAGCTACTAACAGCATATTCTTGCTGTTCACAAAATTCTCTTTGCACCAGTCCTGAATAGGAGAAAAAGAAATATCACAATCCTCTCGTTTCTACACTGAAAAAGAATGTGTGAGTGTGTGTATGTAAATAAAACTTTGAGAACACAGTTGAATTCAGAGGGAAAATTTCCAGTGTCAAAAAGGACTATCAGAAAACCTCTTGCCAGGCACAGTGGCACATGCCTATAATCACAGCAACTTAGGAGGCTGAAGCAAGGATGATCACAAATTCAAAGGCCATTTAGTGAGATCCCATCTCAAAATAAAAAATCAAGGGCTGGGGTTGTGGCTCAGTGGTAGAGCACTTCAACTCAGAAGGTGTAGGGAGAACATCACAAGTTGGAGGCCAGCTTCAGCACGAGTGAGGCCCTGGGTTTGATCCTCAGCACCACATAAAAATAAATAAATAAAATAAAGGTATTATGTCCAACTACAACTAAAATATAAAGATTTTTAAAAATAAATAAAAAGGGCTGGGAATACAGTTCAGAGGTAAAGTGCCCCTACTATAAATCCCCAGTAGCACCAAACAAAAAAATAAATTAATAGTTTAAAGAGAAACTAAAATATTCCTTATTTCAATTCACCATGAGAAAAGCGATAGACTGATATATTTTGCATCATACCCTATAAAATATTAGTACCTCCAGAATATATTTGTAAAAAACAACCCAGGAGGAAAATGGACGAAGGATATGAACTGATTGAACTCACAGAAGAGGGAATATAAACACCCAATAAACTTATGTGAGAAAGTTGAGTCTCTTGAGGAATCACGGCAATGAAGTTTAGAATAACTGAGATACAATTTCACATCCATCAACTAGGTTAAAATTGAAGTTATTTCAACTTAGAGTTGGAGAGGGTGGTGGAAATGGAAACTCTTATACAGAATGAGGGACCACAGATAATTTGAGAGAGCCACTTTCCAACCTGGTAAAACTGAACTACAGCTATCCCAAGGCCTGGCAGATACACTCTTAGGTGTTGATCCCAGTGTGCACAGGGAGACCTGTACCAGATGGTCACTCAGTGTTGTAAGTAGAAAGAAGCTGCCAAAGGATAGTGGAAGAAAATATTTATGTTTAGAGTATACAATGTGGATGGATATGAAATACAGTCGCCCATATGGGAAATACACACCAGCTATAGGATAGTGCTCAATAAGGGAGGAAAAACTTGGCGTTTTTACTGCATCAGCAATATTTTGTTTGCTTAAGAATAAATTAAAGCACTGGTGTAGCGGTGAACACCTGTAATCTCAGGAGCTCTGGAGGCTGAGGCAGAAGGATCACAAGGAACCTCAGCAACTTCATGAGGCCCTAAGTAACTTAGGAAGACCCTGTCTCAAAATAAAATATTAAAAAGGCTAGGGATATGGCTTAGAGATGAAGGATCCCTGGGTCCAATCCCTAAAATAAATAAATAAGTAGAACTAAGGTACACGTACAAAAAAGTATAGAAATGTTAAAGCTGAATGGTGTTTTTTTTTGTGTGTGTGTGTAGTTGTAGATGGAGAGAAGGCATTTATTTTATTTATTTTTAAGTAGTGCTGAGGATCAAACCCAGTGCCTCATGCATGCTAGGCAAGCGCTCTACCACTGAGCTATAGCCCCAGCCCTGAGTGGTGGCATTTTTTTAAAGTAAAAATGTGCACGCTATGGCATAATTGCGGATTTTACTAATATACAAGAGAACATATTGTCATTTTCTATCTTGGTACAAGGAACTATCACACTAGCAAAAACTACTGTGAAGAAAGTTTGAGGTAGGTGAGGGGAAAAAACATTTTGTGATTGCTGTCGTCTAGATATGGTATGAACGTTTCCTAAAGCTTCTCTCAACTCAGAAGGCTTAGGCAGGAACATCACAAGTCGGAGGCCAGCTTCAGCAACTTAGCAAGATCCTGTCTTAAAAAGTAAAAAGGTATGGGGATAAAGCTCGGTGGTAAAGCTTCCATAGGTTCAACCTCAAGTATCAAAACAAAAAATAAATGAAAGAAATTTAATCTCCATTGTGAGGTTCAACAAGTAGAAACTTAATCCAATTATGATGTTTACAGGTGGGGCCTCTGGAAAGTGGCTAGGTTTAGATAAAGCCACTAGATCGAATCCCTCACCATTGAATCCTTTCTATGTGATGTCTTCTATGTGATGCTCTGTGCCATCTCAGGGTTCTGCTAGAAGACTACCACAAGATGAGGCCCATAGATCTAGCACTTCCAGAACTGTGAGCCCAAATAAACCTCTTTTCTTAATAAACAAATTAGTCTGCCTCAGGTACTATGTTATAGTAACAAAAAACAAACTAATAAAATAGCTACAAAATTGAAGCACCAAACACATAACTGATTTGGTCCACATCAAGTACAAATTAAACACAAGCAGAACAAAGTCCACAATTAAATTTATTCCTAGGTGATATCCCACTACTCAGACATTTCTGAAATAAAACCTGGCATTCTTTGTGTGGCTCTTCAGATGATCCAGCCAAAAAGGGAAGGGGCATGCCTATAACCCCAGTAACTTGGGAAGCTGAGAAAAGGAATCACAAAAAAAAAAGGCCACCCTTGGAAATTCAGGTATCTTTTGTCTCAAAATAAAAAATAAAAGGCCAGGAGTGTGTTGCTGGGCACGATGGTGCACGTCTGTAATCCCAACATCCTGGGAGGCTGAGGCAGGAGAATAGTGAGTTCAAAGCCAGCCTCAGCAATCTAGCAAGGCCCTGAGCAATTCAGTGAGATCCTGTCTCTTTAAATAAAATACAAAAAAGGGCTGGGGATATTGCTCAGTGGTTACATGCCCTGGGTTCAAACCCCAGCACTGAAATAGGAAAAAAATATATATGCCTGAAAAAAGGAGTTAGCATTTGAGAAAAGGAACAAAACAAGGCTTACCTTATTTCCACCTATGTTTTTGAAAGTCCGATAAATATTGAGCAGGGTGATGTGATCCCCCTCGCTGGATATGAACTTCTTCCGGACACCGTGCACTTCATCCCGCCGGGCAGGAGGATTATAGAGAACACTGTCCACAGACAGCAGGGAAACGATGGTCAGAATTTCTTCTGTACAGTGGAATTTGGGGGATAGAAGGATGGTCTGAAAATCAAAATTAAAAATGTATAAACCAACTATTTTCCTAGCTTCTGAATACAGTCTTTCTGTATACTCTTTCTAGCTTTTATTCAAAGGAATTAAAGGGCAAGGTCTCTAAAACCATAACTTTATATGTAAAGTCATGTCATTTTACATTTTTGTAAAAGGGATGACTGCCTTCCCTGACTAATTCCAAATCCCTGTGGGCAGGGCTCATGACTTATATGCCTTTGAATCCCACACACAACATTATACAAAAGTAGGGGTTAGTAATTATTTAAGAGAACAAGTGAGATTAGAACCACAGGGCTCAATTGTTTGCTTTGGGATAGCTAACCTGTAACAGACAGAAAAGGGACTGAGGAGAAGGTATCATTTACTTTGGCAAATTTGGGCTCTAAAGGAAATGCTGCCATCTTTCTTCCAATTGGAGTCAGTGTAAGCTGGTCATCCTTATGTTCAAGAGCACCTAACAGGTCCAGTTGGGCAATGGCCGCCTGAATGTGATCTAAAAAAACAGAGACATAAAAAGGATCAAAATTCCAAAAAGAAGTCACAGCTAGTTCAGTACTTCTAGGAGCTTTTGACAACTCCACACCAAATAACAGCAAAACCCACCCAACCACTGCCCAGCACACTATTCACAGCTATTAATGATACCACTAAAAAGCCAAAAACTTACAAATAAAATACGGGAGGGCAGTTGTTCTGAGGGAGTGGGAAGGAGGCAGAAGCAGCCAAGTGGGGTCCCTGGGGATTCAATGGCAACGGTAACAGCGACACAGACATTGGTTTTATTGCTCCTTACACCTTATACATATCATCCTTTGTAGAAATTTAGCAGTGAAAAGAAAAACCCAAGTGTAGAACAGTACATGATATGTGTTGCTATGTGTGTTTTTATTTCTGTGACTTTTTTCCTTTTTTTTTAAACAGTGCTGGAGCTACATCCATGCTCCTCCATGGAGCTATATCCTAGCCCATTCACCTTATTTATTTATTTATGAATTATTTTATTTATGACACGGGATTGAACCCAGGGGCACTTAACCATTAAGCCATATCCCCAGCTCTTTTTACTTTTTTATGTTGAGACAGGGTTTCCCTAAGTTGCTTAGAAGCTTTACCAAGTTGCTGAGGTTGCCCTTGAACTTGCGATTACCCCACCTCAGCCTCCTGAGCTGCTAGGATTACAGACATGTGCCACTGCCCCCAACTAGTCCTTTTATTTTTGACACAAGGTCTTACTAAGTTGCCCAGTCTGGCTTTGCACTTTCTACCCTCTTGTCTGGGATTATAGGTGTGTGCCACCCGCCTGGCAGGGCTATGGGTGTTTTTAAAGAGACTGTGCATTCTTGCATATGCATACATTTTCTGTAGAAGACAACTAGAAAATGAACACAACAGCTGCTCTAGGAAAGGAAAACTAAGAACTTGAGGATCAGAGCAGGACCCTTTATAACCATCAATTGTTTATATTTTCTCTCTTTCTTTCTTTTCTATGATTGCATTTTTTTTTTTTTTAATTGTAAAAAGAGGAAAATCAAGCCAGGCACAGTGGTGCACGCCTGAAATCCCAGCAACCCAGGAGGCTGAGAAAAGAGGATCACAAGTTCTGGGTGAGCCTCAGTAATTTAGCAAGGCCCTAAGCAACTTCGCAAGACCCTGTCTCAAATAAAAATAAATAAATAAAAAGGGTTGGAGATGTAACTCTGTGATAAAGCAGCCCTGGGTTCCATTCCAAACAACAAAATAAATAAATAAAAGGACAACAGAGTAGTGATGTGATGTCATATGCCACAAGCTACAATCATTAGGACTCTAGTTGTTATTTTCTTCCACCATGGGGAGATTACCTACAAAAGGCAGGGAACAATCAAATTCCAATTTAAAGCCAAGAAATTTGATCTTTGCTGTCCTTTTGCATACCCAAGCACAATTCATTTCTGTAGTATCCCATGGATTACCCTTAATGACCTTCACTGGTTCCAGAGGTCAAGTCCCCTGACTGTAAGTCCCTGCATGATGGGTCTGACAGCATAGAATCTGTCATTTCATGATTTTGAGACCCTTCTCTGAAAGACAACATTGTTATTCAACAAGTTAAATTAGCAAAAGGAGATGATGGAAATACTTGTTTTTCTTCCCAAATACTTGTTTTGGGGAAGAGTACACTTGTTAGCTACTCATTTACCTCCTGTCACACTGAGGACTCCACTTACCTGGAGATGGTTTGGACATGAAGTCAAAGGTGAGCACATTTGGGACTTTCATAGCTAGAAGCTGAAGCATCACACTTGCCAGGTTACACCTGTGAAGAGTACGAGACCAGGATTGTTACTCATCTCTGACCCCTAGCAAGTCAGTCAGAACCATTGACTGAAGAGCATTAACAAAAACCACAGCTCTGGAAAACAAGCCAACAGGAAAGAGTGACACAGGGGCAGTCAGCAAGGGTGCAAGCATGCCTTGAACCGACCTCTGGATCTCTGGCACAGTCATCTTCTCAAACTTCTCAAACTCCTCTTCTGTGTACAGCCGGTAACAGATGCCACTGTCCTCTCTGCCAGCCCTCCCTGTGCGCTGCCAGGCCTGAGTCTTTGACACACGTTGCACAGCTAACACCTCGAGACCACTGTCTAGAGGGAGAATGGGACTCATCAGTGCTTTGCACATCACATAAAAAAACTGTTTCCACAGTGATGACAAAAAGTAACAGTCCTCAGAATACCAGTGAGCCTTTTACAATACGGGGGTTCAGAAAAACTCAAGGCTAAATGTGAAAGCACAAAACTAGATTGCTCCAGTGCTTTGGTCCCACAGTAAAAAAGGGCCTTGCAATGAGCCCTGTGTAAATCTGTTATGAAAATATCAGAAAAGCCTCATGCTCCTAGCAAGGGGCCTGAAGAGTAGTTTCAGAAGTCATGGATTAGATCGCATGGATTAGTCAACCACCCTAGTATGCTTGGGACTGAAGGTTTCTAGGATATAAGACTTTTTTTTTTTGGTACTGGGGACCGAACCCAGGGGTGCTTAACCAGTAAGCCACATCCACAGCCTTTTAAATTTTTTACTTTGAAACAGGGCCTCACTAAATTGTTGAGGCTGGCTTTGAACTTGTGATCCTTCTGCCTCTTGAGCCACTGGGATTACAGGTGTGTGCCACTGCACCCAGTGGATATGGGAATTTTGATGCTAACACTGAGACAGTTTCTAGCAAGCTAGGAATGTTGGTCATACTACTGATCAATGACTCAGAAAGTGAATGCCTCGAGTCACTAGTGTGCTTTTTCTCTCTGTTGTTTTTTTGGTACCTGGGATTGAACTCAGGGGCATTCAACCACTGAGCCACATCCCCAGCCCTATTTTATATTTTATTTAGAGACAGGGTCTCAATGAGATGCTTAGTGCCTCGCCTTTGCTGAGGCTAGCTTTGAACTCACAATCCTCTTGCCTCAGCCTCCCGAGCTGCTGGGATTACAGGTGTGCACCATCATGCCTGGCTATCCTCTGTTTTCTGTGAGAAAACAGGTCATGTGAAGTTTTTTTCCTAGGAATAAATGACATTAAAACTTTTCTTTTTCCTTTTGGTAGTGGGGATTGAACCCAGCTTTACCATTGAGTACATCCACAACCCTTTTATTGCTCGGATTACAGACATGAACCAGCTGCCTGGCTAACATCTGTTCTGGACAAAGGTGTACTCCTGTGCCAGGCCATGAAAACCCACAACATTTCACATATGCTGTCTCTAGGAAATCTACACATGACAGTCAGCCCCACCAGTGGCTACAGAGCACTTCAATTAAATACTGGGGAGTGGTAATTTCAGCTGAAACAGAAATGAGCAAAAATAACTTCCAGCAAGTCTCCCACTGCATATTTGTAGGAGACAGATGGTGGTCCACCTGCTGCCCATTACCCCAGATTAAAGGATCCTTCTGCTTCCTCGGAAACCTGGGAGCACACACCAGCCATACACAAAATACTATTTCTCATAAGAGCCTTTGATTGCTAACAGATTGTCTGTGGTCTTCCAGCAATCATTCTTGCCCAACTTCCAGTGGGCTTTCAAATGTTCTGCCCAAGTCCCTGATCATGTTCTTAGGTTTGCTAAATGTGGGCTCCTTTCCTGTCTTGACTTCTTGTCTCATACCTGCATTAGGTCTGTCTCCTTTTTGGACTTGATTTCTAGACTATCTCACTTATGGTCCCTGCCATTCAAATCTCAGTTACTTATAAACATGAAATGCTCACTTGGGGAAAATTGTGGGACTAGTTTCAATGGTTGCTCACTATATACAGGAGAGACATTCATGAGCTACAAATTCTCACCAGGGTTATACTTCTTTGCTTTAACCATGCCCGTGTCAACTACATATTTTATTCCTGTAATGGTTATGGAGGTTTCAGCGATGTTGGTTGAAATGATCACTTTGCGATAGCCCTAAAAGGAGGAAAAAAACCAAAAAGCCACATGACACATATATGATTCAGAAGTTTAAAACATACTCTCACCATTAATTTCCACCATCACTCACGACAGAGAAAAGATGACTTCATTATTAATGGTGGTCATCAGTATTAATAGTTGGTCATTAAACTAGACAGGGATGGGAAGGCAGAAAATGACACTGCAGTTCTAAAGATTAACTTGAGGTGATGAGATGTAATGGGACAAGCACAAGATTCAAAAACAATTAGATGAGACCTGGAATCCTGGCCTTGCCAATTTCATATGTGCCCAGTGAGCACTGCCTACTTCCCCTCTGGGGCCTCAATACCCCTGTAGGAGCCTGAATGACGGGAGTGCACATGAGCATTATCACTGTGCCTGGCACAGCAGAGGCACACAATAAATCATAATATGGACAAACTGTGATTTATACTAGCCCTTACAAGAGTCACTCACTTACCTTTCATCTTGGCCTTTGTACTTTCCCTCATCCCCTAAAAACTGTTTCCTTGTTCTTCTCAGAGGACAGTTCCACCTGTAGCTGTGCGATATATATCTGTATTTTCTCAACTAGCTCACTGATGCCTGGACAACCCCTCCCACGTATCTTATCTGGAGCCCAGTGAAAGTCACACGGGCCCCACTGGTGGATCTGACTGGGTGCCCAGGGATGGAGCTGGACAGAAGCAGGAACTCACCTTAGGGGCCCCTTGGAAGACTCGGAGCTGCTGTGCATAGGGCAAGGAGGCATACAGAGGAAGGACTAACATCCCAGGGCAGCCATCAGGGAGGTGTTTTGCGATGTCTCGGCAGGTCTTGCTCATTGCTTCGATCTCCTCCTGACCAGTGAGGAACACTAGTATGTCCTGAGAAGAAGGGGCTTCCTTTAAAAAAAGAGGGGAAAAAAATGATGTTTACTGATAACATTTCACAAAGTGAGGAGATGTAAGAAGCCTAAATGTTGATAGCTCCCTGGGAGAAGAGTTTTACCAGCAACACATAGAATGTAACAGGTGTGAGTTAACCAGCCATGTTTAGAAACCAGCCAAGGACATTTTGAAGGAAAATTACCAGGTTGCTTTTTTGAAGGGACAATACCAGGGAAAGCACAATCAGGCAAGAAAATAAAATCTACATAAAGCTGCCTTCCTTTCCCAAACATCTTAAAAGATGAAACTGATAAAACAGAAGGCAACTTAAGGAAATCCTCATCAATGGAAGTCTCCAGAAGCAATCATGCTGGAAAAGGAGTACTTATTCAATGATGCCATCATATACCAAAAAGGTTTCCCATAGCTGGGCATGGTGGCACATGCCTATAATCTCAGTGACTCAGGAGGCTGAGGCAGGAGGTTCACAAATTCAAGGCCAGCCTCTGCAACTTAGCTAGGCCCTAAGTAACTGAGCAAGACCTTATCTCCCTCCACCAAAAAAAGAAATAAGAAAGAGCTGGGGATATAGCTCAGTGGTAAGCACCCGGGGTCCAATCCCCAATACCAGCAAAAAAAAAAAAGTACCCTATATAACTGCTTGAGACACTGAGGTTAACTGGGTTGTTCACCTTCAAAGAGAATGATCAAGTAAATGATATGCCCATTTACCTGATTTTTCTTTGACATCTGTTCAATCAGTCAGATTATACATATGGCAAAATAACTGAAAAATATTTAGCAATAATTATGTGCCTACGTATGTGTATACAGTTGGCCCTCCACATCCTCAGGGTTCACATCCACAGATTCAAACACCTATAGATCTGACCCAGTTATCCCACTCCTTGGTATACACCCAAACGACTTAAATCAGCACACTACAGCGATATAGCCATATTAATGTTTATAGCAGCTGAATTCACAATAGCAAACCTATGGAACCAACCTAGGTGCCCTTCAACAGAAGAATGGATAAAGAAAATGTGGTATGCTGGGCATGGAGGTGCATGCCCCTAATCCTAGTGGCTCAGGAGGTTGAAGCCCTACGAAAGACCCTGTTTCTAAATAAAATATTTTTTAAAAGGGCTGGGAGCCAGGTGGTGCACGCCCGTAATCCCAACAGCTCAGGATGCTGAGGCAGGAGGATTGCATGTTCAAACCCAGCCTCAGCAACAGCAAGGTGCTAAGCAACTCAGTGAGACCCTAAGTAAAATACAAAATAGGGCTGGGGATGTGGCTCAGTGGTTGAGTGTTCCCAAGTTCAAGCCCCAGTACATGTCCCTCCTGCCAAAACAATGCGGGTGGCTGGGGATGTGGCTCAGTGGTTAAGCACCCCTATGTTCAATCCCCTGTAACCAAAAAAAAAAAAAAAAAAAAATGTGGTACATACACACCAATGGAATATTTCTCAGCTGTAACGAAGAATGAAATTATGACATTTGCCAGAAAGTGGATGAAACTGGAAACTATCTTGTTAAGTGAGATAAGCCAGTACCAAAAACCCAATGCTGAATATTCTCTCTTGATATGTGAATGTTAACACACAATAAGTGAGGATGGGGAGTAGAAGTTCATTGAATTAGACAAAGGGGAGAGGAGTTACAATTAGGAAAGAACAGAATGAATCACACATAACTTTCCTATGTTCATATATGAATACATGAACAATGAAACTCCACATCATGTACAACCACAAGAATGGGATCCTAATTAGAATAAGTTATGTACGTACGTCAAAATATACATTAATACAATATACATCTAAAAAAAATTTAAAAAAATTTTAAACTATTTTAAAAAACTAAGTCTGTATTAAACAGACTTCTTGTCATTATTTGCTAAACAATCTAACAATTATTTGCATAGCATTTACATAGTACTAAGTATTATAAGTAATACAGAGATGGTTTAAATTATGCAGGATGATATGTGTAGATTATATGCAAATACCATGACATTTTATAAAGAACTAGAGTATTCTCAAATTTTGGTATCCAAGTGGGGGGTCCTGGAACTAACCCCCACTTTGAATGCTGAAGGATGAGTATATACTTAAGTACATATACACATTCATATATTTATATGTGTGTGTATTTTTTAACTTATGGGGTACTAGGGTTGAACCCAAGGTACTTTACCACTGAACTACTTCCCCAACTCTTTTTATTTTTTATTCTGAGATAGCGTCTCACTAAGTTGTTTAGGGCCTCACTAATTTGTTGAGGCTGGCCTCAAACTTGCCATCTTCCTACTTCAGCTTCCCGAGTCACTGAGATTTCAGGCGTGCACCACTACAACCAGCTCCTGTGTGTATTTTTTGAGCCTAATATGGATAGGACAAATTTCAGAGGTATATACAGACAGAATAAAGTGTAAAACGGTCAAAACTTTATCAGTAGCAGAATTCATCAAAGCTACTATATACCCTGGAATGTACCAGTAGCCACCATTCATGAAAAATCCATCATTTCAAGTTTGCTTTTGGCAGTTAAACAAGGCGGACTGACCTTTTCTCTTTCCCAAATACCATCAAATTGACAATAAGGGTCACTGTCCCAAAATGGCACAACAATGAGATGAGTGTGTTCAACTCAGTTTTGAAAGATGGAAGAGATGGGGGGGAGACACTGAATGATAGGCATAGGAAGCTGTGTCCTGGGTGCCTACTAAGGGGACCAGTGACAAGAGATGAGGTGATTTCCCTAGAGGAGCCAGAAAGGCTCAGGACTTGGGGGAGCAAGGTAAAGATAAGTTGTGAGAGGATGAAACCTGGAATTTGACTCAAAGTCTTGAGTATGGTCTAGTTAAACTTACAGGTTCCCTCTCCTACCCAGTGCAGCCAGACTGGGAAGCCAGAGGAAGCAGTAACGGGCATCACCGTGGGCACTGTGGGAGAGTGGCGAGAGTGTCAATATGACAGTTGCACAGACCTAATAAAAGTTAATTCTTTGCCTTTAGATTTTCTCAGGAAAATTAAAAACAATTTTATACAAATCAAACAAAAATGAGGTGATTTAATTATTCAAGTTTTTAAAGTAAATATTTAATAAAATGAGAAGGGATTTTGAAATAGTTCTTTAATGAAGTTAAAAAAACACCTCTTTTTTTTTTTTTTTGGTGGTGGTGCTGGGATCAAACCCAGAGCCTCACGCATGCTAGGCAAGCAATCTACCCAAGCCACACTCCCAACCCTAAAAAACAACTCTTAATTGCAACCCATTATTGAGTCAATTTTTACTTTTTTAATGAGGTAGAAAATAACAGACTATATCACAAGTAATGAAGGAGACAGTTTTTCATAGACTTAATATAGTTTATATATATCCATATGTACATATACATATATGTGTGTGTGTGTGTGTGTGTATGCAAAGAGAGAGAAAGAGGGAGAAGGTTATAATATAAAATGTACTTCTTTAGTGGGGCTTCTGATAAATTAAAAAAAAAAAAAAACCAAGTAGGGCAGTGCTCTAACATATGATAGTTTTCTAGTTCAGTGGAGGAAAGTTGCTGGTCAGAGTTGAATTATTTTTCTTTTCAGAGAAAATAAGAGAAGCAGAATAGAATAGACAATATGATTGATGTATGTACATTCCATGTATGTATTATATGTCAAAATACATTCTGCTGTCATGTATGACTAAAAGATTTAAAAATAAATAAATAACAATCTTGCTAAAATAAATAAATAAATAAGAGATACCATAAAAATGACTAAAAACCTAGACATAGCAATTGAATTCCTTATTTAACTTTCTGTGTGTTTGTGTATGTGTGTATGTGTGTGTGTGTGTGTGTGTGTGTGTGTGTGTTACACATTAGGCAAATGTTCTACCACTGAGCTACACCCTCAACCTTTCATATTTATCTTGATGACATGCTCACAAAGTGGTGTATTCACTGGTTTTTCTTTTCTTTTTTTGGTACTGAATATTGAACCCAGGGGTACTCTCTCACTGAGCTACATCCCCAGACTTTTTATTTACTTTTAGACAAGTCTCGTTAAGTTGCTTCGGCCTCACTAAGTTGCCGAGGCTGGCCTTGAAGTTGCCATCCTCCTGTTTCCAGCCTCCTGTCACTAGGATTACAAGTGTGTGCCACTGCACCTGACAGTGGCTTTTCTCTTCAAGGCTGAATGTTCTCACTACCAAATGTACAGAACACAGAATTTGTCAGGAATTTGAACCCCATTCCATACCTGGTGGATCTGGAAGACCGAGACAAGAGCTGCATGTAGGTAATCATGCTGAGGCTGTTTGGTGTAAAAAATCTGGATTGGATGCTGCCGACCTTCCAGGTAGAGGACAGGGGCTCCATTGAAATACTGAGAAAACAGGTCCACATCCATGGTAGCTGACATCACAATCACCTTCGCAAGAGAACAAAAAGGAGGATAGCAAGTAGGCATTGGACAGCCTTTCTATGCCCCTCCCAAGCCCTAAAAGCAGATGGTCAAGGCCTGTGCCACTCCCATCATGTTCATCTTTCTCTGTGGTTCTGAAGCAAGAAAACACATGGGAAAGAAACAAGCCTGTTTCCTTAAATTGGCTGCACATACTTTGAGAGGCAGTTTCCCCAGTTCCTTTCGCCTCTTCTGAGCAGCTTTCACCACTCCAAAGAGCACATCTGTATGGATAGTCCGTTCGTGGGCTTCATCCAAAATGATACAGCTGTACTTCCGAAGCAGGGAGTCTGAAATTGCTTCACGCAATAACATGCCATCAGTTAGGAACTTGATCCTGGTGTCTTCTGAGGTGACATCCTCAAAGCGCACTGTATAACCAACCTATATGGAGGAACAACTCATTCATGCACCAAACATCTGTTGAGCATCCCCTTGTATCCAGCATTGTCCTAAACACATATCACAGTGCACAAGACCAACACTACCCTGGCCTGCTCCCTTGGGGATCGTATGGTTTACTCAGTGGACATGCACCTTTAACTGCAATTATGCTGAGCATCTGCATTATGGACGAAACTGGAAACTGACTTGCTAAGTGAAATAAGCCAGTACAAAAAACCAAAGGCTGAATATTCTCTCTTGATATGTGGATGTTAACACACAATAAGCGAGGAAGGGGACATGTACCTTTAACTGCAATTATGGTGAGCATTACAAAGAATTTTAAACTAACCTCCTACCAGCTACTTAATAAGTTTCACATGAAGCTGTATATAGATATGAAAAAGATGTCCAAGATGTTTTTAAGTAAAGCTAGAATACATGCACATAAACATAAATCTGTCTTCTATAAAATTCTGAAACTCATCTTAAATACCTACATATATGTTAGAGAGATGCTTACAATGTTTCTAGAAATATATAAAAATATTTAACAGAGGTTACTAAAGTCTCAAAATTTATCTAACTTTCCAAAGGGTTTTTTTTTTTTTTTTTTTTTTTGGGGGGGGGGGGGGTGTTGGCGTTTTTTTTTACTTCTAATCCTCTTTCCCACTCTTTTTTTTTTTTTTTTTTTTTTTTTTTTGGGGGGGGGGTGGTGGTACTAGGAATTGACTTAACCACTGAGCCACATTCCCAACACTTTTTATTTTTATTTTTTATTTTGAGAGAGGGTCTCACTAAGTTGCTGAGGCTGCTTTTGAACTTGTGATCCTCCTGCCTCAGCAGGATCCTGAACAGCTGGGATCTCAGGCCTGTGCCACCCTGCCTGGCTCCAATAGCTTTTGAAAGCAAAGCAAACAGAATTGCAACCCTATTAGAGTCTCTGATCTCTCCAGAACTGGGAAAGAACTCCGAGAATGGCCTAAACAGCTGTGGCAAAAAAAGAAGTTTGCCATGTATAAGAAATTTTGTTCAGAAAAACATAAAAAGGCAAAAGGCACAGTGAGAGCACTGCTCAGTAAACAGTACTGATTTTAAACAAGAAAATGAAGTACCAGTTTCCCAAGTTCAGTTCTCTTCTCATCTGACACTCTAGTAGCAAGAGAGATGGCTGCTACTCGGCGGGGCTGGGTCACAGCAATGATGCCCTGGCGGCTGATGCCCCCTTCATAGAGGTACTGAGGGATCTGAGTTGTCTTCCCAGAGCCAGTTTCCCCTAGGAATGAAAAAAAAAAAAAGTCTCACTTAGATGTAAATTGACACAGAATTCTCCAATCAAACAGCTTAAAGTCATTATATATATATATATATATATATATATATATATATATATATATATGAAAATACCTTGAGTTAAAGGCCTCAGAAAAATGTGCACTCATGTTTACTGCTGCAGAGTGTTCGCTGGAATTGTTTCTGGGGAAGTTAAACTATATTTTTAAAAATTTGAAATGTTGGTGCCATTTGACCCACAATTCCACTTTCAGGGATTGATTCTAAGGAAATAATTAAAGATGACTTCTTCAACTTGGCTCATAAAAATTAGAAGGGAGATCAGTAGCATACAGGAAGGGGACCAGAGGAAGGGAGGAATAGGGGAAAGGGGGAGGTACCAGAGAAAAAACTTAACTAAATTGTGCTATGTGCATGTATGATATGTCACAATGAATCCTATTACATTTAATTATAAAAAATAAAAAATAAATAAAAAAAACTTCGGCTCTTGACATTTAAAAATTGGAAACAATATATATGTTCAACAAGAGGTAGCTAGTAGAGTTATAAGATAAAATGAAATACAACTGTTATACAGATTGGTATGTATTAGCAAGAAAAGATGTCATTTACACATGCAACCATAACAAACTCCGGACCATTCCCTGACCTGCCACTTTCTTTCAATCCCTCTGCCTCTGTCCACACTATTCCAGAACTAGATACCTGCCCTCATACTGCTACCTAGAAAACGATAAGATGGGTAAGCCCTTAATGGGGCCCAAGGGCTGCACTAGTGGCCCTCATCTGGGCTCCTTTGTGTTCTGTTTATTCCTCTCCTAGCACTGAACAGACTAGTTTGTATAGAATGTTTAAATGTTTCTGTCCTTTTCCAATACCAGAAGGCACTGGAAAGCAGAGTCAGTCTCTGTCTTTCCATGGACTTGAGTACCCTGCATACAGTAAGTATCCAATAAATGTTATTTCCTACCCTCTGTGGGTCCCTTTAACAGTGTCTAATTAGATCAAAGAACTCAGGGAGCTCAAAAACATCTGCATAGAAGCAGCCTTCCTATTCAGCTCCTCCACAGTTTAGAATAGAACAAGTACTTGGGAAACCTGGGCATCCTCTTTCCTTGCTATCATGACCCCTCTCTAGCTTCAAAGTCTTATAGTCCCATTTCTCTCAGTCATCAGAGCCCTTTAACTGCTCATCCTTCCTGACCCAGCCAAGAATCACAGACTAAGAATTTGAGTATTCTGCAATCTTCCTGCTGAATCTCCTAGGCACAATCCTAACAAGTTGGATCCATGTCTCCCCTTCCTGCTCCTATACCAGAATAACTGAGCATTGCTAAAGTAAAATAACCAAATGCTGCAGATGTAGGGCTAAGAGACATCTGGGCACCAACTCTACCATTGATCTTGTTCCTGTTTTTGCAGCCTGTTTTCTGTGTCTATCTTCCCCAAGGACCTACTTGAGGCTCTGAGACTCCCATTCTCAGCAGAACTCTTTCAAGAAAAAAAAAAAAAGTCCTCTAATGTGATTTCCCTCTACAAGTGCATCTGCAATCACACCATTCTTGCTTCCTTTCTCCAGGGCCCACAGTCCTGAGACAGCATTCCTCCTATCTAGGCCAGCTCTCCTCTAGTCCTTGTTGCCAAGTGGCCCCCACCCAACCTTTACTATTAGTTCTATCCTATCTTCAGCCTCCCTCTCTGCTGAGTTCTTTCCCTTAACCTATGAATATCTGTAAGTTCTTCTCAACCTCTCTTTTTTTCTCAAAACAGAAAACTGATCCCTCTACTTTCTTTCCTTCACCTTCTGCCTACTTAACTCAATGCCACATTAGCTCTTACCACCATGGTTCCGTTGAAATATGCCCCAAAGAGGGCTGGGGTTGTGGCTCAGAGGTAGAGCGCTGGCCTAGCATGGGTGAGGCACTGGGTTCGATCCTCAGCACCACATAAAGTAAAATAAAGACATTATGTCCACCTATAACTAAAAAATAAATATTAAAAAAAAAAAGAAATATGCCCCAACCAAATCTAGTGGGCAATTTTTTGAGTGGTCCACCTATTACTGAACGTTACAGTTGCATCTACTCACTGCCTTCTTACAGCTATATTCCTCTGATAAGCAGCAGTCCTGGGTCTCCTTTCCGTCTTTGATAGCTCATCTTCATGAGATCTTTACTAAATGTGGGTGATCAAAGCTCCTTGAAATTAATCCCTGCCTTACAGCTCTGCTCAGCTCCTTACATGCATCAGAATTACAACTTCCCAACCCATCGGCTTGTTTCCAGTCTCCAGTCTCTCAGGCACGGTCTCTTCTACATAGAAAGCACTCCCTCCAGGTTCACCTCCCCAGCCGTCTCCTCACAGATTAGTGTGGATCCACTCATCTAAGCTTCCAAAGCCCCCATACGCTTCTCTACCCTTTCAGCGAAAGTGAGTCTTTCTCTACAACCGTCGGTAACTTCCACTCTTCTCCGACGTCCCTCTCCAGGTCTGGCACAGAAGGGGCGTTCAAGTTTTTAAAAAAAAAAAAAAAAAAAACAACAAAAACGAATGAAAGGGAGAAGCACTTAAGAAACTGTTCCCGCAAAGCAGGAACCGAGTAAAAAGGAACCCGCTGGCGCGGCCACTCACCAATGAAGACCGCGCTGTCCAGGTTTCGGAGCTGGGCCAAGAGCTGCCCCCGCGCCTGGAAGATGGGCAGACTCCGGCGCTGCAACTCCAGGGCCTCACGGTAGGGACTGGCCGGGGGCTGGGCCAGGGGCGGCTGCTGTCGCCGGCCTCCTCCTCCACCTCTACCGCAGCCGCCGCCCGCAGTCAGCAGCATCACTACTTGCCTCTCGGGAGGGTAGGAACCGGCGCGGCTCGGAGGCCCACAGCCCGGCCGGAATCTCTTGGCCGGCGGGAAGCCCGCCTCCTCCGGCATGTCGGGAGGACGCCGCCGCAGGAGGCGCAAGAGCAGGACGCCGCGGCAGGAGGCGCAAGAGCAGGAAGCTCCTGCCCCTCTCGGTTGCCGGCACCAAGTAAGCACCGCCCCTTTCTCTCCACGTGCAGCCGGTTCCGGGCGACCACCAACGACCTCACGGCCGCCCCCAAGCTTTAGGGAGGGGACTACAATTCCCAGAACGCATTGGGGGTTTGGGAAGACGTTCAATTCTTAGGGGCGATAAGAGTAGAGGCTGATGTACAACCACAAAAAAGCCCGGAGCAACAACAGAGAAAGATAGGGTATGCGGTTCCGTGGGACATTGGTCTAGAATAACGACTTTCTTCTCCTTGACGTTAACACCGGTTTACTTCCAGCAAAAATGCGTTTCTCGCCTGGCGCCGTGGCGCACGCCTGTAGTCCCAGCGGCTCCGGAGGTTGAGGCAGTAGGATCACGAGTTCAAAGCCAGCCTTAGCAAAAGCGAGGTGCTAAGCAATCAGTGAGACCCTGTCTCTAAATAAAATGCAAAATGGGGCTGGGGATGTGGCTCAGTGGTCGAGTGCCCGAGTTCAGTCCCCTGTACATTTCCCCCCCCCCCACCGCCCAAAAACAAGTTTCTCCTTCTCTGTGCACAAAAATCGTCACTCTTCAAGGAATTACTTATTTAAAGTCAATGAGAGGGGCTGGGGTTATAGCCCAGTTGGTAGAGTGCTTGCTTTGCATGCACAAGGCCCTGGGTTCAATCTCCAGTACCCCACCCCCCAAAAAATCAATGAGAAATACAAAGGTTTGCATTGATCTTCTAGAGTTAAATGGTAGATCCTGATACCCTCAATTTACAAATGAAGAAATTGAGTTTTCTGAAATTAAAGTCATTCAAATGTCACAAAATCTTAATTTTGAAAAGGGCAATGTAATCATCCTTATTAACAGAAAAGAAAGACGAATTCTATGACTCTGACAATCATATTTTCCTAAGAAAGTGATCATCTGGATGGATGCTGTGTGCTTCAGCAACACAAGCAGGGAAAGAGGGAATTGAATGGAACTAAAATGGTCTTTAACGCTTCCTTTCTCCCAATCATTACTGCCAGACTCTCAAATTCCTTTCACAACTCTCCAGCCCTGTCATGATACTCTAACCAATGAAAACATCTAGAACTCCAGCAGAGAAAATATTACTAGTTCCTCTGTTCCTTCCTAAAAGCTTTGAGAGGAGCCGGTTGCAGTGGCGCACACCTGTAATCCCAGTGGCTCAGGAGGCTAAGACAGGAGCTTCTCAAGTTCAAAGCCAGCCTCAACAATGGCGAGGCACTAAGCAACTCAGTGAGACCATCTCTAGAGAAAATACAACATAGGGCTGGGGATGTAGCTCAGTTGTTGAGTGCCCCAGAGTTCAATGTCTGGTACAAAAAAAAAAGAAAGAAAGAAACAAACAAAAAACTAATTCACTCCAGGAAGATTGGCTCTGCATACAGGAAATATGACCTCCAGAGAATAAAGGATAAGTTTCAACCTAACGTGAAAGAACATCTTCTGGAGTTTATTTCCGTGAAACTCAGTATGTGGAAAAAAAATTCTCCTCAGTATGTGTTTAAAATCCTCCTTTCCCTTTCCTCTAGGTCAAGAGATCATTTTTCTTCAGTTCTTGACAGTGTAATAATGGGGGTTACTAAAAATGTACATTGAACCAACAACAGACGTTTTTCAGAATTGACAATTTTTTGCTTTTTAATTCTTAAATATTAATTTAGAAAGGTGATCTAAAACTACAAGGGAAAATAAATGTTGTAATGGACCGGAAATAAAATAAACAAAAAATACAAAAACAGAACAAAAAAAGTAAAAGATCCCAGTCCTTTTCCAAACTAACCTATTGTTATATATGTTACAAGAATCCAGGTAGGTGATATGAATGAGCGAAATAATTTCTTGATAGGGGACATGCCTTGTCCCTAGAAGCGGCCATTAATTGCTTCTAGGCAACAGCTGTCATGCAGGCTATTTTTCTTCCTATTTTTTCAAGAAAAGCGAAAAAATGAAGATTTTATGTGACATGTGTTTAAAATATTGACTAAAAAAATTTTGACATGTATAATTAGAACAAATTAAAAAATATGTATTATATATGCTCTCCCCCCAAAAAAGTGTTTCTTGAAATGCAAAACATGGCACATTGAGCTGGGCATGGAGGCTGATGCTTGTAATCCCAGAAATTATGGGTGAAGTAGGAAGTACAAGTTTGAGGCCAGTCCCAGCAATTTAGTGAGACCTTGTCTTAAAATGAAAATATTAAAAAGGACTGGAAATGTAGCTCAGTGGTAAAGCGCCCCTGGGTTCAATCCCTAATACCAAAGAACACAGTACTTCTATACGAAACTCTTCCATAAACTCTGGCTTAGTAATCCTGTTCTGCAGCCTCTAAGCTCAGTCAGTTGAAAAAATTAAATCCTACACAAGCATCAAGTTATATTGCCCACATTTCCCCCATTAGTAGAGTGAAATCTTCTGCCCCTCCAAATAGTCTCTTGTGGTTCAGCAGCTTTCATTTACAGATGTTGACACACTAATAATACTATTCAAAGTATATTCTGGCTCTTCCTCTAAAAGGTCATGTATCAGACACATTTCATTCTTAACTTGTCTGAATAGTTGTGTGGACTTATCAGGTCTGACCATGACCATACCAGCTGGTGGTCATTGTGAAGGTTTGGATGTGTCTCCCCAAAACTCCTATTGATGTAGGAATGTTCAGAGGTGAAATAATTATATTATTATGAAGGCTGTAACCCAATTAATGAATTAATCCATTTGATGGACTAATAATTTGAATGGACTAACCGGGTGGTAATGATAGGCTGGTGGGACATGGCTGGAGGAAGTAAGTCACTGGGGTTTGTATTTTGTCCCTGATGCCTTGCCCTCTTCCCTCCTGCTCTGCTGAGTAGTTTTCCTCCACCAGTCCCTTCTGCCATGAAGTTCTGCCTTACCTTAGGCCCAGAGCAATGGTGTTGGCCATTTATGGATTGAAACCTCTGAAATCCTGAGCCAAAATAAACTTTCCCTCATCTACATTTCCTTGTCAGTTATATTGGTCACAGCGAGGAAAAGCTAACAGTCACCTGACCACCAAACCATGGTCCCTGATCACATTCAGTTCTGCTCCAATCCAAATTTCAGAGACAATCATAAGCCTCAGCAATTAGGCACAAGCTTGCATGCATACATATGAATCCCTTTGTAATTAAAAATACCAGATAATAGTTTGCTGATTAATAAACAAAGTATTTATTCAGCACCCATGTGCCAAGCACTGTGCTAGGCACTGTGGTGGATACAAAAATTAAGACATGGTCCCTGCCCTTAAGGAGCTTACATTCTCATGAGGGAGACAAGACTAATATACATGTACCAGCTAGGAACAGTACAAGACAATATATAATTTGGTGTAAGAATATGTCATACAGATTTGAAGCTTTATAGAGATTCAAAGAAGACAATGAAATAGGCTTTAGAATCAAGATTTCTTGAGGTGTCAGGAACAAGTCCAGGCCTTGAAGGATTAGAGAGGCTTAACTTGAGGTCCCTGTTAGGTAAAAGTGGGAATAAGGTTCAGAAGACAAAAAGTATGCATTTAATATAGGGGCTAAGAATTCACTGGATTTTTGAGCAGGTAAGTAACTTGACCATATAAGGTTCAACAACTTTAATGAAAACTCATAAAATATGTAAGTAATTTAGGGGCATCCTGCAGAGCACTAAAAATGATGACAGGATCTTAGCTAACACCAAAGATGAAACTCACCTGTCAAAGGAAAACAGAACCATGACTTAAAACACTGGCAGGAGAGATGACAATTCTAGGAAGCCAGTTACTCAACACAGCATAGCTCTCATATTTCCTAATTTTCAGAAGCCCAGAGAGACTGAGTGAGGCTTTCCTTAACAAGATCCAGGACAAGGGTGCTTTGCTTTGAGAGAATACAGAAGTATGAAAGATATTAGGACATACAATAGTGACACAGAAAAAAAAAAAAAAAGAACCAAGTGGAAGAGAGAAACAAATAGAAATCCATAGTGAAAACACACACCAAAATGTATATAAAATGTATCTCCTAGGGAGATGCAATTTGCTCGTCCATTTATTTTCAAATGAACATATATTGTATTTCTGTAACAAAAAAACATGTTTTAATCAGGTGTGTGCTTTTCAGTATAACTAGTAGAATTCAGGAATCTTTCAAATTATATGTATGTAAGGTTGATAGGTCACAAAAATTCCATATATCAAATCTCACTTTTCAATTGACTTGCATTATGAAAAGGAAATGTTCTGGAAGACTCAAGATCAAGAGGTAAGCTGGGAAAGAAGTAAGGACTTTTCCTTAGGTTCAGGTAAGCCTGGGGATCCTGTCAAGCAACACAGGGCTGGGGATGGGTGGGAGTGGGACTGGCCAAACTGATAAGAGGTCAGTGATTTAAATCACCACTGCCAAGGACACAGTGTAGTAGCATAGCAGGGCGTCCTGCCACTAGGAATTTATACCCTACAAAAGCAGAGAAACAAAATCCTATAAATGACTGCCTTTAGGCTATACATTCAAAATGTGTTTCCTGTTTTACCCAGTCATGAATGTGTACAGATACTCCCTAATTAAATGAACAGTCAGTGAATAGATTTTAGGATTAAAATTTTACCACAAAAATTCCATTAATTGGATAATCCAAAATTAAGTCAAGGATAACAAATAAAACTAGAGAAACCCATTTCTAGCCCCAAAGCAAACAAACAAACAAAAAAACTCCTAAAAGTCATTGGTAAAACTTTCTAGACAAAGACAAAGATGATTAAATTTAAGAATCCCGTAAGGATTATACAATCTAAGTATGGCATTTAAACTTTAAAAACACTTCTTAAACTGCTTAGAGGAAAAAGCAGTCCCATTGACCCAAATTCCATAAAACTGCAACAATCATATTCAAAGTTACTTACTAGCAACGTGTAAAATACGCGTACGAAATTCCATACTTATGCATATTCCAATTTTAAAGACATTAAAATACTTTGTACTTTAACAATAATCTGAAAATTCCCACTTAAGATGTTTTTATGTTTGATCTAAGCCTATGTCAATCTGAGGAAATCTCACTCTGTAAAGCTATCCCTAACCAAGACAAAACTGAAGACAATCCAGTTGGGGGACAGGATCTTGTACCTACATGCTATTCATAAAAAACTGAGATCATTTCTTTCTTAGGGGTGCACTCTTTTACTTTCCTGAGTTCTGATTAAGCAGTATGAACACAAACCTGCTGGGATTCGGGAAGAACTTACTATTTTGGACAAGTATTTGTTGAACCACAGGCATGATTTAAAGGCCTGCTTCTGTGGACCCTAATTTCTGCCTAATTGGGAAGGTAACCATTTACTTGGCTCTGAAAAGGTTTTCAACTTTTCATGAAGTAAATGACAAATATTAACCAGCCAATGACCCGGGAGGAAAGTATGCCTAGCTGCTACTCATTCATCTTCCCATAGTTTTCAAAAAATGTGGCCATTACCAGTCACTCCCTGGATAGTTCTTAATGGAGAAAAGCAAGCAGAATAAATAAGATACCACATGAGCCTTTTACTTACAGCTGACTTTTCTACAGCTGAATTTCTGCTACAAGAATCACCCTCCCTTCTCTTTCTTGTGTTCTGATGACTTGAAGTTTTGCAATTCCCAGATGGAAAACAAGCTATCTGAATGACAGAAATAAATCTTTCTACTGAAGCTAGCACTCTGAATTAGTAAGATGTACATAGCTACAGCACTATAGTCATGTTTTCAATCTTGAAATGAAATCTATCTGAAAGCTGTGAAGACACAGGAAGAGCAGGCCTGTAAACTGCTCAGTCCAGACCTACTTGGGAGAACTAGCATACACTATCATAATTTAAAAAGATCACACACAAAAGCTTTAATACAGTGAAAGAGAGATGGAACTCAGTTTTATTTTGTCCTCTCTGAAACTTTCATTTACACCATGGCCTCGTCTATCAAAGAAGAAGAAAAAGCCCTGCCTTATGCCACAGAATTCAAGTACTTATGTACTTGTTAGAGGCAGCAGGATATCTTTCTCCAGTTTTTTGGCTCCAAGAGATTACACTTTCAGTACCAGTGTAGTGAGGAACCACTGGCAAACTGCTGGAAATGTCTTCTGGATTAGTCAGTGTACCATTTCATAAAGTGCTTCTGGAGTTAAAATCTGTCAAGCTGTCAAAAGTGTCCACACTTTTGCAACAAAGGATAAAAGAATCCCAATGGGGATTTCACCAAGTCCTTCCCAGCTGGGTTTCATTATTGGCACAGCTGCTTTAACCTCCGAGACGTTGGCCCTCACCCCAGGCAAAGCCTCCTGGCCGTTCTTCAGGTAGTGGATTGTAATTTGGATCCTCATCTGGTGTATCAAAAATAGTCCTCCTAAAATACACATGACAGATATAATTTAGTCCCAGAATCATCTTAGGTTTGAAGTACTATAAGGTCAGTTCCCTCCCACAGGGGTTTCCACTATTGGAGGAGCACTGGGTCTGCCTGCTAATTAAACAGTTATCATTTTAATTATTTAACATTTACATTAACTTTTACCTCCTTACTAATTTTATCACAAAAGCACTACATGTTAATTGTAGAGAAACAGGAAATGTAGATGAGTAAAATATCCTAAGTTCCCAGATAATTTCCACTGATACCTTAATTATTCTTCTAGAATAAATAATTGTGGTTTTACAAAAGGTACATCACACTTCTATTTTTTAACCTTTTTTTTTTTTTTTTATACCCAGGATTGAACCCAGGGCCTCTTAGCCACTGAGCCACATCCTCACTCCTATTTTGTATTTTGTTAGAGACAGGGTATCACTGAATTGCTGAGCACCTCGTCATTGCTGAGACTGGCTTTGAACTAAAGATTCTCCTGTCTCAGCTTCCCAAGTCACTGGGACTACAGGCATGCGTGCACTCTGCCTAACCTAGCTTTCATTTAATTTGGTAAGAATGTCTCACCATAACAAAAGCTAAGTGCCCATCAACAGACAAATGAATATACAAAATACAATATATACATATGACAGAACATTAACCTTACAAAGGAAGGAATTGGTTGGGGGTGTTGCACGGTGGTATAATATTCAATCTTGCATTCAATCCCTGGCAACAACCAAAAAACATTAAAAAAAGAAAAAATAATGGAAGAAACGATATTCTGACACATGTGCTCCAATATGGACAAACCTTGACAGCGTTATGCTAAGTTAATAAGTCACTCAAAAAATACTGCATGTTTTTACTTATATATTTATATGAGGTTCCTAGAGTAGTTAAATTCAGAGAAAGAGAAATAAAATGGTAATTGTCAGGGACTACGGGAAGGGGATAATAGCGAGTATCTAAAGGGCACTGAGTTTCAGTTCTCTAAGATGAAAAGAATTCTATGAATGATGGCGGCACTATCATATGAATGTATTTAACACCACTGAACTGTACATTTAAAAATGGTAAATTTTAGGGGCTGGGGTTGTGGCTCAGTGGCAGAACACTTGCCTAGCATGTGTGAGGCACTGAGTTCAATCCTTAGCACTGCATATAAATAAATAAAAAATAAAGATATATCAATAACTAAAAAATATTTTTTTAAAAAATGATAAATTTTGTTAGGTAATACAAATTAAATTTAAAATCAATTAACAAGGTATCCCAATAAAAATTACTGCAGAACATAAGTACAGATAATAAATTCCCAAGTCTTTTTTTTGGGGGGGTGGGGGGGTGGGTACTGGCGTTTGAACCCAGAGGCACTTTACCAAAGCTATATCCCCAGCCCAGCCTTTTTTATTTGAACTTGAAGATCCTCCTGCCTCAGTCTCCTAAAGAGCCGGGATTATAGGTATGGGCCATCATGCCTAGCTTTCAAGACTTTTTAAATACTATTATAAAATAATTCAAAATTTCATTAAAGTATGAACCATTAAAGCAGCATCCTCTACTACGAGTCACATATGTAATTCTACTTGCTGTCAAGGCTGTCAATTGGTAAAATCAGAAATGTATTCAAAAACTTCTACTTTATATTAGAGTCAGAAACAAGTATTTATGTTTCAAAAGGAGCTTTGGTTCTTACAAACTAACAACAAAAAAACGAACACACCAATAGGAAAATGGGAACTGATATTTAATAAGGGATATTTATAGTCTCAAAGTACTTTCCTACAAAAGGGAAAAGAGTATCTTTACAATGGAAAAGCCTGACAGACACCTTAAGTAATCAAAATGATTATCATCACCTTGATAAATACAAGTCAAAATCCCATGCTAACAGGCTGCAATCAGAACAGTGTCATTTATCTGATATTCCCACCAAAGGTGAAAAACTTGAATCAAAATATGTGAGGAACATCAGACAAACACAAACCGGGGAGATATTCTATACAACGAACCCAAAATATTCAAACAAACCCATGTCACGAAAGCCAAGGAGAGAATAAGGAGCTGTTCCAAATGGAAGGACACTAAAGAAACGTGTCAATAAATAAAACACCTGAATCTGAGCTGGATTCTTTTGTCGATTTACTTTAAAAATAGCTAAGGGAAAAATGTCTTTTGTACTCTATTTGTTTCTTTCTGTAATTCTGAAATGAATTTTTAAAATTGTTTAAATTATAAAAAATGAGACACCATCTTATTCAATAGAAAAGGGTAAATAAGGGTATTTGATAGGGTTGTCAGGAAATAAATACATACATTGCTGGTGGAAATGTAAACTTGAACATCCACCTGGAAAGTTCTGGCAACTAAAAATACAAAAACACCAGCAATTCCACCTCTATGGACTTATCCTTTGAACATAACCCATGGATATGTTCAGACTTATCACCATTCCAATTAGAGAAGGGAAAAGCAAAAGCTAACATCAATGTCCATCAATATAAGATTAGGAAAATTATGCAAAATCCACATCATGAAATATCATGTAACTTACAATTTTGTAGGACATTTATGATGGACAAGTGCTGCAGTCCGGCTGCAGCAAAATAACCGGGGGGTGACGAATAACTTGTAAACGTTGATACAGCAGGAGTGGGAGCCGTTTATTGCAGGGCAGGAGCAGTATTTATACATTCCACAGAGCTTATCTAATTAGCATAAACTAGATACATCAGTCAACCAATAAGGAATCTCTACACTTAATGGCTCGCTTTTGTTACTTCTCAAACCACTCCCTCTGGCATTTTGCCAGGCACCATCCAGACTTGTTTTCGAACTCTAACATTCCCCTGGCTAAATGCCAGGTGTTATTTTTGACTTGTTTACAGACTCTAACAGACAAGTGATCATAACATATTAAATTTAAAAGGCTATGAAATAGGATTTTTAAAAACTATACAGATGGGCCGAGATTGTGGCTCAGTGGTGGAGCACTTGCCTAGCATGTGTTGGGTACTGGGGGTTGAATCCTCAGCACCACATAAAAATAAATAAAATAAAATGTGTCTGTCTACTTAAAAAAAAAAAAAAAAAGTATACAGACAAGCCAGACATGGTGGTACACACTTAAAATTCCAGCCACTTAGGAAGCTGAGGCATGAGGATCACAAGCTCAAGATCAGTCTAGTCAACTTAGCAAGACCCTGACTCAAAATAAAATTAAAAATAAAAAAGGTTGGAAATGTAGCTCATGGTATAGCACTTGTATAGGGCCCTAGGTTTAATCTCCAGTACCACACAAAGGGGAGAAAAAAAAAATAGACAGTAAAAGACTAAAGAATACTTATAAAAAAGTGAACAATGGTAGCCAATGCTATGTCTAAGTAGTGAGATCATGGATGATTTTATTTTCTTTTTGCTTAACTGTCTACAACAAACATTTTAATACAAAAACTTAAAATTTTCCCTCAATTGAACTCTTCTTAATGTAATATTTCCCAAAGACACAAAATTCTGGAATAGAAGAGGTCTTATTTGCTTAAAATCATAACCAGTCAATAGAACAACTACACCTGATTTCTGGTCCCAAGCTATTTCTACTCCACTGTCTCTCCCACCTGTTCTGCAGGACAGAAATCCTACCATTAGAAACTTTCATCTGTGTTGCTCATTTTGCTACCTCACCTGTCTAAACTGGACAGCAGCCTCATAAAACCAGCAGACTCCCCTGGGATAGGAAGTTCTAGTGGTCCCCTGAAGCAATAATTACCACGGCATCCCATGACATCCTGAGCCTGTTAACCTTGCTTTTGCCACAACCTTGGCACTGCCTGTTCCCACTCAATCCAACTGCTCCTAAACTGCGGCTAGATTCCTCAATCTGCAAATATTTACTGACCTGAACTATGTGTACCAGGAGCTCTGAGAGCCCCAAAATACCCAAACATGGGTCTTGTACTGGTTTGTCTGCAAGGAGCACAAACCATAGGGTTAAATACTCACAAAATAGATGGTGTTTTCAGAATTCTTATCCCTCCAGGCTGATTGGGAAATACATCTTCCAAGAAAAAATATATGTGTCCAACTGCAATACCTAGAGTCAACCAGAAATAAAAGATGAGAAAGAGTATTAAAATTTCAACTGCAGGTGGACCTACCAACATAAGTTGCTTATTTTTAGGATAACAACTAAAACTTAATGAACTGATATGGTAGTCTTTGAGATATACCTATCAAATAATTCTATAATAGTTATTCATGAAAGCCAGACAGAATAAATGTGAAAACAGTGACAAAATAAACTTAAATTAATATGATACAAAAAGTAGTGATAAGACTCTTACCCAAGAGGTCCACAATGATTGAGTTCCCCAACAATAAGGAAAACCCCATGAGCACCCAGGGCAGAAAAGGGGCCTGGAAGTTGAGAAGACCAAAGAAGTTCATGCGGACATATGGGTTCCTTCGGCTCCATACATAGACGAGCATTATTGTAAAGGCCTGTCCCAAGAAAACTAAGCTCACAAACAAACCAAAAAGCTAACAAATGGCATTAAGGAAAATATCAACATTAAAAGCATAACAGGGAAGACTAAGAGAACTAAAGATTGAGTTGTAATGAAAGCTTAAATGAGAAAAGTTGAGAAGTTACATCTTTAGAAAAGAAGGAAAAAACCCTGAAGATAATTACTAGAGCAATCAGACAAAAACTGACTTCAGTGAAATCATCTGGAGTATAGCTATTTCGAACTAATATTCTACTTTTGTGAAGTTCTTGCTTCTGGAAAATGTTAATTCTTTAGTCAATAATTACAATAAAGCTCACTCACCATAAGCACTTTTACCGATGAATGTCAGCAGGAACAAAATCATCTCTTCAGACAGTACTACATCCAAGTCTGTTTTACAGGATAAATTTTTTTTCTTCTAAATGCATCATTTTTTTTTTAGTATTTTTTTTTTTTAGGTGTAGATGGACACAACACAATGCCTTTACTTTTATGAGGTGCTGCCTGTGTTAGGCGAGCACTCTACCACTGAGCCACAATCCCAGCCCCAAATGCATCATTTTTGATAGTGACTAAATGCATGTCTCACCAACTTAGTTTAAAAATGAAATACACTCATCAGTGATATAACGTGAGATGTTTCATAATAACCCACCTGGGTTAAAAGTTCCTCTGTCTTGCTCATAGTAGAAAAAGCATCCTGTCCAACATCTATGCTTGGAAAGCTGTTACAGAAGGTGTGCTGTAAAATAAACGGTCATACTCTAAAGAGCTAAAATCTGGAAGTCTACTTTAATGTGTTTGTTCAGAATATTTAATGAATCATGGGAGACAGATGAAACATTTTAGGAAGAGACTGGCTGTTCTTTAACATTTTCCTGTATTTGTTCTATTGTTTTTGAAGGATACAGTCATTAAGAATCCACCAAAAAGGAACATAAATACAAAGTCTGCTGTCCGACCTCGGAAAGAGCCTTCTTCTAGCATTCGACAGTAACGATATCTTAAGTTCCAAGTTAAGAAAATGTCAATCATACTAATTGGAAGAAAGTAAAGTTTAACGTATCATTTAAGTACACCTGGACTCCACATTATCTATAAGCATTCAGGCTTCATTTTTATAAGCATGTTTGAGTGATAAGGTAAATACTTTTAGTTTTATTTTTTAGGTATAGATGGACACAACACAATGCCTTTACTTTTATGTGGTGCTGCCTGTGCTAGGCAAGCACTCTACCACTGAGCCACAATCCCAGCCCAAAACTAGCACCATATTTTACTACGAATGTCCCTAGCTGGGGAACCAATCCGATGTTACAGAAATATGCTTCCAGTCACCTTTAAACATTTTGAAATTTATAGTATTATCTTTCCCACACTCAGCCTAGCCTTGATCCTCACCATTCTTACTTTTCCATGAAGAAATCCCCATAAAGAAAACTTATGTGATAAACTACTTTTCCAGGCCAGGCAGGTAAAGCATTTCTATATTTACATCAGTCAATAAAGATGCATTAAAATGAAAAGACTATCATCACTTTCCAGAATAAAGTATTACATAGGAGAAACAGGAATCATCCTAGGACAAGAGTCCTGCCATGGCTACAAGTCCCTCTGTCCACTGCTGATGAACTGAATTACAACTCAGTGGCCCCAGATCATGGCTTTTAACAATCTGGAACATGACAAGCTCAGCAGACATTATGGTACTATGCTTTTGGCCAGGAGAACCAGCAATCAAGACCCAAGATTTCAAGTTCTCCATTTCTCATGAACCCATGGCAAACTCTTGCTAATTAAATTATGACCATGTACAGGTTATGTATTACTTATACCTACTGATACCATTTTATAAGTATGCTTCTATTAAATGTTTCCCCCCCCTTGATTAGGTTTGTAAGCAACTTAAGTAATGATCTCTCATAATTAGACCTCCCATGTAAAGAGTGAGCTACAACTCCTTCAAAATGTTGCTGACCATCTACTCTATGTACAACTGACTCAGAAATCATAGATAAGAGTATCAGAATTAAATCTTAATTTACTCTATCCTAAGTAAACCTAAAGTTTTGATGCTGACTTCACTTAATAAAGGATACAGAAAAATCATGTTAAATAAAAAATTGAATCCAACTGGTCCAAAAAATAAGAAATTGGTGATTAACCTCCATATCTGTAGAGGAAAAAAAAAAGAGAGAGAAAGAAAGATTAGGTAAAATTTATCAGCAGGAAACATTTTATGATTACAATGGTTGAAAAGCCATAAAGGGTGATATTTTATTACGGATCCCAAACTGGAAGACACAATCTGACAATGGATTTTTGTGCTGCTTCGACCATAAAGTCAGAAAAATACTGTATGTACCATAAAGTCAAAAAAATACTGTATGGACTGTAAAATTTATAAAGCTAAAAAAGCAGAAAATTTGAACTGTGATTGTTCTTAAAACAACTCACAATGATCAGGTAAATTATGGAAAAAGTTTGAAGACAAGACTAGGTTGAGCCAGGCACAGTGGCATGTGCTTGTAATCCCAGCAACTTCAGAGACTGAGGCAGGAGGATCACAAGTTTGGGGAAATCCCAGGCAATTTACAGAGACCCTATCTCAAAATAAAATTTTAAAGAGGGGCAAGCCCACTGCAACCTATTTTTAAAATGGACATGTTTCTTTCTTTTTCTCTCTCTGCTCCTCCCTAATCTCAGGGGAAACAGGACTTTTCATTCCTATCCTAGGAAGATTTATCTGTTCTGAGTACACACCCACCATAGGAATGAAGTAATCCAGACTTTGGGGATGATACCAGAAGATCTCAGAAATGACTATCTCCCAAATTAACAAGTAAATTTCAACTCCAGACAGAGAACACATGGAATGTAGCCTTTGAATCACTTCTTTAAAAGTTCCTCTTCCTGCTGATGGGCAGAATCACAGCCTTTGGGACAGAGTCCCCTGTGTTTCTCCTTTACTAGCAAAGCAATAAACCTTCTTTTTTCCTTTTTCTCAAAAATAAATAAATAAAAAGGGGCAGGGGATATAGTTTAGTGGTGGGAGCATGTCTCCCTGTCACCAAACCCCAGTACCACTAAAAATAAATAAATAAATAAAAATTTAAAAATAGGTTCATCCGCATAACAGAAGAGTGCGCTTACATATGTAATATAGTCATCTCAGGTAACTTTTTTTTTTTTTTTTTTAAATACCAGATATTGAACCTAGGGGTCTCGCTAAATTGCTGAGGCTGGCCTCAAACTTTCAATCCTCCTGCCTCAAGAGTCCCTACTCACTGGGATTATAGGCATGTGCCACTACGCTCAGTATAAATGAAACATTTGAGACAGAGAGAACACTATGTTTGGGGCAGAACTACTGGTTTTGGGTTTTTCCTCCTCTCCAACAATAATCTGTATGATCATCCAGAAGTAGAAAAATGCATCTCTCTCTCTGAATTCTGATTGCTAGAAAAGACTATCTTCCATTGCAATTTAATATATTGTTTAGTATATTGTTTTAGATACTGGTCTTTTACTGTTATGTTACTACAGTCTGATCCTGGAAGGTTAATTATTTCAGTACTGGGAATTAAACTCAGGGGTACTCTACCACTGAGCTATATTCCCAACACTTTTTCATTCTTATTTTTGAGGCAGGCTCTGCACAATCAGGCTGGCCTCAAACATGTGATCCTCCGAGTCATTGGAATTATATGCATGAACCACTGCACAGGGCAAGATGAACTGACTTAAAAGTGTTGTCAGAATTGAATTTATGAAAGCCAGAAGAATGAATCAGACATAAGTTTCCTATGTTTATATATGAATACATGACTAGTGAAACTTCACATCATGTATAACCACAAGAATGGGATCCTAATTAGAATGTTACACTCCATGTATGTATGTCAAAATACACTCTACTGGGCTAGAGCTGTGGCTTAGCGGTAGCATACTTGCCTGGCATGTGTGAGGCACTGGGTTCGATTCTCAGCACCACATACAAATAAATAAAGGCCTATCAACAACTTAAATAAATAAATAAATATATATATATATATGTGTATATATATATATATATGAAAAAATACACTCTACTGGCATGTATATCTAAAAAAAAAATTTTAAAAAAAGAATTGAATTTATGAACTGAATTATGATGATAACAAGAAGGTGGTGTGAACAGGTGGTGAAGGACAAAATAAAGCCATCCTGCAAAACTCCCTGGGCACCTTGCTAATCAGTCTCCTTTTAAAACTACAATAAACTATAAGACAGTGAGATACCCAATACAGGAACTGAACACATGAAAACCATGCAAGGAACCTTAAAGATAAAATTCCTAACCCTGGTGATTCTGATTTAGTACAGAATTAAAAAGCTTCTACAGATAAAAAGCTTGTGAATCTCTTAAAAGTTCCCTAAGTGACTCTGAAACCCAGCCAGCTTGCAGAATCATTGCTTTACACCTCAACAATATGATTTACAATCTCAGGACCCCAGTGGACTCTTTTCTGAGATGCCACATGGCAGAGTTTGCTACTTAACAGCTCAAAACAGAAGCAACAGAAACATTAACTATGGTTTTGAAGGGCCACTTACTTGAAAGTGTTTAAAAATTAATTCAGGATTGAAGTACAGCTGAAAAGGTGTGATCAATTCCAGCTGCTGAAATAGAAAAAGAACGTCTTAAAACAAATCAATCAAAAAAATTTCATCACTTACAGCAAAGGATTAGTAAATAGGTCTAGCAAGTGCCAATTCTCAAATCACTTAGGATGAATTACTTTTAAGCCTTTCTTAGGCCAGAGGAAGAAGCTGGTAAAGAATTGTCTACACCTGGCACAACTCTTTGTATCCTCAATAACACAACATTTTAAAAAAATGTTACAATGCTTGAGGATCACATGAATGCATAGGAGGCAGGCAGGTGATGGTACTTTTAGATTTAGTCTACGTAAGAGCAGCTATTACTAATTTGCCCATTACGTGGGCACCACCGAAACAGATGGGTGGAAAACACAACTTACTTGAAATAACGAGATTGGAGACCCTGCCATCATTAGGACTGGGTGCTACCGCCAGCCCCTTTTATCTACAGACCCCTATGATGTTTCCCTCTCGATACTTTTCTATATTCAATACCTAAGTCTCTTCACTTAGCGGACCTTTCTCCCACAAATCACTACGTTACCACCTAAAAATTACTATAGCTTTCGGACACATTTTGGGTGGGCGGCTCCCGCAGCCCTTACCACCTATAGGTCCGGTTTCATCTCTGAGAGACTGATCTGATCCCTCATGGAGCAGCACTCCCTTCTCGGGCCATTGAATTAGCACTCTTGGAACCACCCCGAACCCAGGAGTGTGCCTTGTATGCCTCTACCCACCCCTGGGACCAGACCCTCTGGGCTTCCTCGAGGCCCAACCCCAGTTTCCTGAAGAACCAGTCATATCCAGCCCGGAAAAGGAGAAGGAGGCGCTGCAGCTGCTCACCACAGCGGCGGTGGTGAGGACGCAGGCGGTGGTGTAGGCGCGGCTAACCGGTGGGATTTGCAGATACTCCAGCCGGAGGCTCTGGTACGCCATCTTTCCCACCGCCGCCTGCCCACCCCCCAACTTCCCCTTCCGCCAGTATGCCCAAGCGGCAGGGCGGACTCAGAGCGTCCCAGGCTTTAGCTTACCCGCTACTGTCCAATCAGCGCCGCACAATCGGCCAGCCACCAATCACTAGAGCGTTAAGAATCGCTGACCCACCAATCACGAGTTGCGTCTCCGTGGCGCCCCGGCCCACCTTCTCCTCCTTCCAACGTAGGAAAGAAGAGAGAAAAGATCGATTCCTTCCGCCAATCCCCGCCGGCCACAGCTAGCTTTCCCTTCTGGCCCCTTTCCGTCACCAATCGAGGTGCCCACTCCGACCCGACAGTCAGCCAATCGGGAGGGCGATAGCATCCCGCCTTTGCTTTCGTTCGTGGAGGCACGTATCAGTCGGAATTTTGAGGTGCCAGCAGTGCCGCCCATCTTTGGCAGATCGCGGTGCCTTAAAGGAGATAGCGGGACGCTTGTGTGTGATCGACTTCATCACCTCCATGGTAGCTACGGTAAATGCTGCGGGGCCGCTTTTTCGCTGAGGGGAGGCGGGAACTAGGTTCCCCCACGTAGAGGGACCTGAGCGGCCTGTGGGTGAGCCGCGCCGCCCTGCTGCGGGCCCCGACCTGAAGGTCCCGGCATGCAGCGGGATCGCAGTGCCGGATGGGAGCCGGGAGCTGCCCGGAAGCTTCTCCAGCTCTGCCGCTTCTGGGTCCTGTCCAGAGTGTTCGCGAGCTCTTAAAGCATCTAAGTCCGCCGAGATGGCCTGGGCGTCTCCCGCCCTGAATCTCGTCTTACCTTAAGGAACTCTAAGGCTAGCAGAGAAGATGAGACCGTAGGACTAGATCAGTCAGTTGCGAAGAGAGCAACTGATGGGAATTCAGAGTAGGGTGTGGTGGGTCATCAGGAAAGGGTGCTTGCAGTGGCCCTTAAAGGCTGTTTACCCAAGGCATGCCTACTGGAGGGCAAGAAAAATAGCTCGTTTTGGTCGGAGCAAAGACTAGCCTAATCATTGCAGGAGAGGTTAAGAGCATCATACTTTATTGGGTGGGCTAACAAAGTTAGAAAACGCTAAAGAATTCCGGAGCAATGAAGCTGGAGGATCCCAGATTCAAGGCCAGTCTCAGCAACTTAGCGAGACCCTGTCTCAAAAGAAAAGGGACTGGGGATGTGGCTTAGTGGTTAAGCACCCCCTGGCTTCAATCCCCGGTACCAAAAAAAAAAAAAAAAAAAAAGAATTTCGGAACAAGGAACGGAGCATCAAGTCTGGTGTGGTAAGGAAGGAAAGAACCAAATAAAAGTTTGGCTAGCACTTTCACAGGTCCTCCCCTGGGCAGTGGGGCCAGGATTTGGTAGCTGGTGCTGAGAGAAAACCATTGATTGCATTCTTGCCCTGGTACTGTAACAGTGGCAACTGTCACTCAATGGAACAGAGAAGAAAAACAAAACAAATAACAGGTTGGAGAAAGTGGTTCAACAACATCATCAACAACAAAAAGACCAGGTGCAGTGGCACGAGCTTATAGTCCCAGCTGCTAGGGGGTTTGAGGCAGGAGGATCACATGAGTCTCACGTTGGAGGTTAGCCTAGGCAACTTGTCTAGATCCCCTCACAAAACAAAACCTACAGTAAAAAGGGGGTATGAATGGGTAGTTCACAGAAAAAGAAATCTTCACAGCCTGTTGATTAAACAATGGTTGTTTGTTACTTAGTGTGAGACCACCATCTCAGTAGAGCATTGACAGTGTCTCTTAGGGGAGAAGGATAAGATTGGAATTTTTTGAGACTTCTAAGTTTGGTTTCAAGTATATTTCCCAATGTATGGGGCTTGATTACAGTGTGCTATGTATCATAATACAACAATCCAAGATAGATGGAAACTTGAGGTAAAGGTTAGAGAATGGTAGCATACAGATTGTTGATAGTTTCCACTAAGAGTGGACCATCTTTTAGGGAGTTTGTAAGGAACAACCAAGCCATTTGAACAGTGGGAATATTCTAGTCTTCTAGAATATTAAAGTCATGCTAATGTGGACATGAGGTTGGGGGGGAGGGAACATAGACAGTTTCAGTTCTCAGTGTTCAGTTAGTGTCTGAGGGTAGATGATTTTGGTTTTCTAAAAATAACTTGTGTGAAACATTTTTACATCTGCCAAATTGGCAAAAGTTAGAATGTTGAATACTGTTGAGTGTTGGCAAAGATATGAGGAAGAAACTGTCATCTAGCACAAGTGTGAATGTAAATCAGCCCACATGTTCTGGAAAACATTTTGGCAATATTTGGTGAAGTTATCAATGAGTAAACTCTTTGGCCTAGCAATGACTTGCCTTTGAAAAACCTGGCAAGTCCCCAAGGAGACATCATAGGAAGATGTTCATTTAATTTCTGGTAGCAAGATGCTAAGAACAGGCCAGGCACGGTGGTGCACACCTGTAATCCCAGTGGCTGGGAGGCTGAGGTAGGAGGATCACAAGTTCAAAGCCAGCCTCAGCAAAAGCGGGGTGCTAAGCAACTCAGACCCTATCTCTAAATAAAATACAAAATAGGGCTGGGGATGTGGCTCAGTGACTGACTGCCCTTGATTTCAATCCCTGGTACTCCCCCCCACCCCCAAAGAAAATGCTAGGAACAAATGAGGTGTTTGTCATAAGAAGAATGAATCTTTTTTTTTTTTTAAAGAGAGAGTGAGAGAGGAGAGAGAGAATCTTAATATTTATTTTCTAGGTTTTTTTTGGCGGACACAACATCCTTGTTTGTATGTGGTGCTGAGAATCGAACCCGGGCCGCACGCCCACTGCCTGAGCCACATCCCCAGCCCCAAGAATGAATCTTTAAATGTGATAGAGTTGATGGAATACTTTAGTCAGAACAAATGAAGTAAACTTAAATAATAATATGAAGTTATCAAAAAAATAAATGTATATGTATAAAATACATATATAAAATATCTATTCACAGATAAATATGAATTTAAAAGACACACATTAAAAACACTATAATTAGGTTCCTACTAAGGATGGGAGGTGAAAAGTAAAAGGATAAGTAATAGAGGACAAAAATAGAAGTTTTAACTCAAATTAGACATGTAGAGTACTTAAAAAAAAAAGTGTGGTTAGTAAGAGTCAGATGATGAAGGCCCTTATAAACCACATTGAGAGGGTTTGAGTTGATCCTGGAGGCATAGGGAAGTATTGAAAATAAAAATTCAGAGAATCCTCTACAAAATAGAAAAGAAAGCAATTTTATTATTGAATAACATCAAGATTATAATGTTTTATAGACAATCTCTAAACAAAGAAATTCTACCTTGTTTAAACAATCACACAGTTACAATCACTCTATTTTAAATCATTATATACATAAAATTTCAAGATTAGTGGTATCTGTTTTCTATAAGAAGATTGGATACACCATTTCCTGCATGTTGTCATGAAGTCCATCCTAAATTAACCTGGTAATTGAAATGTCAGTTATTATTCCCTATGTACCTTTATCTAAAGGAGTTAAGAAAAAAACTCCTCTTATTTCTATGATAGGCATATGGTTACAACTAGGACAAAGATGTCTAGATTGATCTCATTGTGACAGGGAGATATGTGATATTTTCCTAGATGTTTACATTTGAAAGAAATGAAACCCCCTCCCCCAACACACACACCCTTGAAAAAACAAGTCAGTGTTGTAAAGCCCCCTTGTTCATCTTTTGATAGGGATTTTTTTCAGATGGCTGGGGTGGAAGGCAAGGGATTGAGGCCACTGGCAATAGGGTATTTAAAGTAATAGAAGATCACGAGGCTTGAAAGGACTGGGGAAAGAACTGAAGAGACTGAGAGCAAGAAAGAGAAGGTTATTAGATTAAAGTACAATGAGAATATGTGAATGATAGTTGGAAGAATAGTATAGGAGGTTGTGGTCAAAAAGTAGGAGTTGTTGGGGAGAGAAGTTAACAAATATCAAGAACCAGGTGGCTGAAAGAATGGAGATGTAGATATTGAAATTCATGTCTCTGGGGCAATCTCATAGGTCATCTATGTAAATTTTAAAATTGTCCAAGATGATAACAGAGCCAGAAGATTGATCTGTGTGCCAAAGACTTCAGCACATGAGAGGTGGAGACAAATGAATAATGAGGAGAGGGGCAAGTCGGTTCTAGAATGAGGAAAGAGCCTCAGAGAAGCATGGTTTGTATCCTTTTATGGACAATCAAGGCTGGAAATAAAAGCAGGTATCAAGGAACACAAACTTATTTTTTTCTTTGAGTCCTTGTTTGTGATGTGATCTATTACTTTCTTCATTTTTTTTATCCAAATGAATTTTTGTTTTCTTTTTACATTTGCAGATTTTTCATAATTGAAAATAGCAAATAAACCAAGATGTCAATGGATCCAATGACCTATGAGGCCCAGTTCTTTGGCTTCACACCAGAGACTTGCATGCTTAGGATCTATATTGCATTTCAAGATTACCTATTTGAAGTGATGCAGGCTGTTGAACAGGTTATTATGAAGAAGCTGGAGGGAATCCCAGACTGTGATATTAGCCCAGTCCAGATTCGTAAATGCACAGAGAAGTTTCTTTGCTTCATGAAAGGACGTTTTGATAAACTTTTTGGCAAAATGGAGCAGCTGTTTTTGCAGTTGATTTTGCGTATTCCCCCAAATATCTTGCTTCCTGAAGACAAATGTCAGGAGACGCATCCTTATAGTGAAGAAGAATTCCAGCTTCTCCAAAAAGAAATTGAAGAATTACAGGAAAAGTATAAGACTGAATTATGTACTAAGCAGGCCCTTCTTGCAGAATTAGAAGAGCAAAAAATTGTTCAAGCCAAACTCAAACAGACTTTGACTTTGTTTGATGAGCTTGAAAATGTTGGCAGAGATCATGGGACTAGTGATTTTAGGGAGAGTTTGGTGTCCCTGGTCCAGAAATGTAGGAAACTCCAGAACATTAAAGACAATGTGGAAAAGGAAAGCAAAAGACTGAAAATATCTTAATTTCTCAGTAGCAAAAACAAAGAACCTGTAAAAAAGTAGTTTTCCTTTGTTCACTCTTTCTTATGTTCCCCATCTTTTTTGGTCCACTCTTCTCAAGTAGCTGTACTGCCTTGAACTAGTCTTTGAAGCATCTGTTCATTAGAGTTTTCTAATAAGTAGAGAGAGATTCTTGATTCAATAATGGCTCATTTGGGGGCATGATTGAAGAAGTAAAACTCAGCTGAAAATATATAATTGTACCTTGTTTATAAGTCTTTGTGATCCTGGTCCTTTTGGCTTATTCTTTGGATAATACCAGGTGAGAAAAGGGTTAAGTGGGTGGCTTCTTTATTAACCAGCCATTATACTATGAAATAGCCAGCATAGGGTGCTGCTCTTGCCCAGTAACTTTGCTTTACATGAAGATGTTATAACTGGTTGAAGAAGCAAGCAGCAAAAAAAAAAAAAAGACCCATCTTTGATCTTTGGTAAACAAGAAAGTTGTTTTTATTTCTATAATAAATCTCTCCTTTTAAAAAATATTTTTAGTTATAAATGGACAATACCTTTATTTTATTTGTTATGTTTTATGTGGTGCTGAAGATTGAACCCAGTGCCTCACACGTGCTAGGCGAGCTCTCTATCAATGAACCACAACCCCAGCCCAAATAGATCTTTTTATAAATGAGGCCCTGGTGATGTTAAGCAATTTAATACCTTGGGGTCCTGCAGAAGATAACATTGGACAAAAAAGAAGCAGATACCACTGGAATAGAAAAGGAAGCATGGGGTGGGGGGTCATGGCTCAGCGGTAGGGCACTCGCCTAGCATGTGCGAGGCCCTGGATTTGATCCTCAGCACACATAAAAACAAGTAAATAAAAAAAAAAGAAAAGGAAGCATGGGGCATACACAATAATGAAGTTTGTATTTATTGACTCAGGTTTTATACCTTTTTTATAGTAAAATTAGTTTTAGACTCTGCCTTATAACTAATATTTAATTAACATTTATTCATACTGAGGGTAATAAGCATCAAATGTTTAGTACCCTCAGATTATCTAAGGGAAGGGGAGAAATATTAATGATTGATTTTTTTTTTTTTTTTTGCATGCAATGCTGAGAATCGAACCCAGTGCCTCACACATGCTTGGCAAGCACTCTACCACTGAGCCACAACCCTAGATCTAGTGACTGATCTTAATGTGTTATTTGCTTTTCATGTCTTCCTAAAGAACAGGGTTTTGAGTTTTTCCTGTAAAGAAGGAGTTACTTGGAGTATTAATATTTGCAACTAAATATTCATAGACTTAGGAAACTTGTGCTTATTATCAAAAGGTCTTTTGGGCTGGGGATGTGGCTCAAGCGTTAGCGCGCTCGCCTGGCATGTGTGCGGCTCGGGTTTGATCCTCAGCACCACGTACAAACAAAGATGTTGTGTCCGCCGAAAACTAAGAAATAAATATTAAAAAAAATTTTTAATTTAATTCTTGTTTCTAATCCTGTGCATTAAATATATATGTTCTAAAAGCTTTGGATTTTGATTTTGTGTTGTCTATAATATCATGATTTATGTTTTTTTTCTCAGTATGGCTTTTTACTCAAATGAAAACTTCCATTTCACATTTGAGCTTATTCAAAATCACCTAGTGTAATAGGTTGAATGGTAATCCCTTAAAAGATATGACTATGTTCTAATTCCTGGAGCCTTTGAATGTAGCCTTATTTACAAAAAGGGTCTTTGCAGATATAATTGATTTAAGGATTTGGAGATGATGACATCATCTTGAAATATGAGCCCCAAATCCAATGAAAAGTGATAAGTTAGGCAGAGGGAGACTTTGAAACAAGAGTAGAAGGCATAAATGCAGGTTGGAGTAATGCAGTCGTAAGTCGGGAATGCCAGCAGCCACCACAAGCTAGAAGAGACAAAGAACAGATTCTTCCTTAGAGCCTGCAGAAAGGATGTGGCTCTGCTGACCTCATACCTAGTGTCCCAAACATATTCCAACTGTCTCCCTCAATTTAAATTATATCCCATAATATTCAGAAACCACTGCTTAATTCACTGTCTGCATATATCTGCTCTTTACAGACAATACATAATAGAACACTTTCCCCAATCAATAGGTTCTATATCATTTGTGATCTGCTGCAGAGCTGTTATTTTTACCTGCCTAACATCCATGGCACCTGAGTGTTCTTCAGGGAAGGAATTTCTTTCCTACTACTTGCCATTTTCATGGGATTGCCCTTTGAGGTGCCTTGTCTTTTTTTTTTTTTAACCAAAAGGTATGTTACCTAGAATTTTTTTTTTCCTAGTGCTGGATTTAAACCTAAACCTTGCACATGCTAGGCTAGTGCCATATTACTGTTACACCCCTGAACCCCCTAGAATTTGACTCTTGAACAAGAAAGCACAAGTACCAAAAAATGGGCACAATCATGATGGAATTTTGAAAAGACTATCCATTAATAGGAGAGAAAGGCTTGATATTTTTAGTTACAGGTGAACACAGTGTCTTTGTTTTACTTTATGTGGTGCTGAGGATAGAACCCAGTGCCTCATGCATGCTAGGTGAGCACTCTACTTCTGAGTCACAACTCCAGCCCCCCCCCCCATAGGGGAAACTCTTACTAGAAGCCCAGAAATTGAGGGACACTTGAGAAAATTCAATATAGAGAAGTCACCATGAAATAGGGGGGCAAAAGGTGTATAGGATGCAATTAGGATATGTGACCAAATATCCTGGGATACTTAACTATAGAAGAGGAAAATTGGCTATATTAGACATGATGATGCTAAAGGCAAATGTGGATGGCATGAAAGTAATGGAAATTTAATATTGATTAGAAAATATAGCTGGGCATAGTGACACACATCTGTAATCCCAGTGACTTGGGAGGCTGAGGCAGGAGGATTGCAAGTTCAAGGCCAGCCTCAGCAATTTATCGAGGCCCTAGGTAATTTAATGAGATCCTGTCTCAAAAAAGGGCTGGGGATGTACCTCAATGGTAAAGTGCCCCTGGGTTCAATCCCCAATATCCCCCTGCTCCAACAAATAGGTATACATATGAAAAAAAGAGTGTGTATGAATGTGTGTGTGTGTATGTATTTTTTTGAGTGAGAAAAGTAATGGGTGAATAGAAAAAAATATGAGGCTATGAGAAGAGTAATGGAATCTTGGTGCAGGGCGGGGATAGCAGTGAATGTTAAGGAAGGTCAGAGTGCAGCATTAGACCAACTGGGGAGAAATGCAGTAGATTCTGAAATAAGGGGATCCAATGGGCCTGGATATTTAGGAGTATTAAAATCACTATTAAAAGATTGTAGAGGCAGTAGGATCTAACCATTGATTGATTGATTGATTGATTTTGGTGCTGGGGATCAAACCCAGGGCCTTGTGCATGCAAGGCAAGCACTCTACCAACTGAGCTATATCCCCAGGCCCAGGATCTAATTAATCATAGTATCAGCAAAGCAACCAGATATTTGAATATGGGATAGAAAATGGAGACCCAGATTTGGTAGCACAACAGTTATTGTGGAACAATAACAAAGATTGAGGAACAGAGGACTTTGGTTTGGGGATGGGAAAGGAGTCTGCCATCAGGTGATTAAGTGACCAAAGGATATTGGGGGATAATATTCTGAAGTCACCAAAGGATTGTTAAATGAGAGATAATAGGGGATATGTGAATGAGAAACAATAGGAGCAAATGTTTGGAATACACTAGGCCATATCTTGGGATTCAGTGGGAATCAATACTAAGGGATAGTAGAAGATCCAATATCCAAGTTTAAAAACTGGAAAAGAGGTGTATATTGAGGTACCTAAGAGCTGTGATTTGAGGAAATGGTGTCACCAATTGTTGGAGGAAATTATTTTAAACTGTGGCTATAAAGCACAGGCTGATGTTAGGGAAACAGCGGATGGCACACTTGTAGCATTGAAGTAAGATGTAGAGGGGCAAGATACCAAGGTACACAGTGATATGGGATTAGGGGAAATCAGAATTGGGAAATGACAAGGCTTTATTATTGGAAAACAGTTTATAAAAACCTAAGCTGGATGAAACGGGCAAATGCCAGAGCTTAATTGGGGGACTGAACTGGGCCAGAAGTGTCTTGATATGGAAGCAAGTGGGGACTAAATCCTGAGGAGTAATAGACCTGCTGTTAGGAGACAGCAAGATTGGATCCTGGCATGTTGGAGCAGACTAGGAAGTCTGAAGGGGTCCATTGTACAGTTGGAAATTAATGAAGAACTAAATACAGAGGAGACTGAAAAAGATTTATTCCATCAGAGGTGCCACGATTACAGATATTTCCGTAAAGAATATGCAGTGTTATAGTGCTGTATTTGGACATTTGACATTCATGAGCAAACAAAGAAAGCAAGTGGGTTAATAACCTGCCACGGTGGGTTCTGGTATTAGAATTTGGGGTCGGAGATGACAAACCCTCTGCAGGATTTCTTCAATGGATACATCCCCCAGCCCCTTCATCTTGGGTCTCATAGTTTGTGAAGGGCTACTGAATAGAGTGAAGCCACCCCAGAGTCTCCAAGTAGAGATTTCCCGTGAACCCCAGTTAGGGCCTCCAGTCTCATACAGTGGACCCAGCGAAATCGGCCTGCGTCCTGGGAAGTGTGCAGCTGCAGATCCCACGCAGTTCCGGATACGTCCTGAGCGTAGCTTTCTGGAACGACCCTCCTCTGGCTACAGGTCTTGGCTCCGCCTGGCAGCGACAACAAAGCCTGAGGCAGGAAAAGCGCACATTCCGGATCAGTCCGAACCCGGGAGGTGTGGCACCATACCTTGACAAATGCCCCTCACCTTGTCCAGGGTTCCAGCGGTGCCCGCTGCTCACCCAGGTCCGCCAGGTCCGCCAGCTCCCCGAGCTCTGAGTACTGACTGCGCCAGCTCTGAGGCACAGCTGGCTCCTGGGGGCCATGCAGCATCACAGGGCTCCGGCCCAATCTGGGCCAGGGCGCCAATCCTTCCCATGGGACCCTCTCTGGAAGGCCGTGGGCCCAGATCTGGCTCATCCCTTGAAGAACAGAAGGTTGGGCTCACCAAGCACAAAATGCTGGGCTCGCTGCGCAAGCCCCCACATCACAAAGTGGTAGGTTACAGCGACTTTATCCTAACTATAAACGGGGTTCAATTGCACCCCAGCATTCTAAACATTAGGAGCGGGCTGTGCCCCCGCCCCCTGTCTGCGGGTGCTATTGCACCGTTATTTCATTGCCAATGGCTACTTTGGACCTTCCTCCTCCTGATGGACAGTTAAACAAAGAGAGCGACAACAGAGATGAAAAGAAACAAGCATCGAAAGCTAGATGAAGGGGGTGCAGCTAGTCTCCACAACAAATTGCTGCGCCCTTCTTTCCCTTTCCCTCCCCCCTCCCCTCTGCGCCCACCCCTTCCCGCCCTATCGACTTAGGCAAGCTGTAAATGGATATAGGTGAAGATGCAGGAGGTGATGGAGAAAGCGATAGCCGCGTAAATAAAGATGGAGAGGTGCGGGAAATGATCGAGATAGCAGCCCTCGTCCAGTGGAGGCGCCTCTTCCTTGAGCTGGGGACGAGCGGCGGCCTTGGGGGGCTGCCCGGCGCGGATCCCCTGCGCCTTCCCGCCCGCACGCCGACCAGACTTCTTGCCCGCAGCGGACGCCGACTTGGGCGCGCGGGCAGCTGGAAGATCTTCTGGGGGAGGCTTATCAAACAGGCCTTCGGACTCAGGGTCGGAGTCGGTGGGCATCTGTTCGGTGCCCCAGGGTTTGCGCTGAAAGAGACCGTCAGCCATTGGCACTGGGCGCGGGCAGGTGGGGGTCTGCTGGATCCAGGCGATCAAATCCAAACCCGACAGTCAAGTCCCAACCGGGTCGAATGCAGTGGGCGGCGGCTGGGGCTGCAGCTGTATTTCTACTACCCAGAGTGGGGGCACAGGGGGCGGAGCCAGTGAGGTAGAGGGCCTCTGCAGGGTATGCTGGGCCTCTCAGCGGAGGCGCCACTTCCCTTGACTCCTCCCTCTGCCCCCTGCCTGTTGCAGAGGTTGGCTCTCCCAGTTCCATCTCCCCGGCCAGCGGCCAGAGGCTAGCAAGTCTCCACAAAGCCAGGTTTTGTCTCCCTGGCAACCACACAGACGACCAGCGTAGATGCATGCACTGGAAGCTAGCTGGGAACCCCTGGCGGGAAAAGAGAGCTTGGCGCGCAGGAAGGTGGAATGCAGACCCTCAGGCAACAGCTGCGTGCGGAGCTTCCCCAGGGTTTACCTCTCCTTCCTAAAACTATTGTTAGTATTAGTATTATTGACTAGGTACCAGGGGTTGAACCCAGGGGTGCTTACCACTGAGCAACATCCCCAGCCCTTTTTATTTTTTGAGACAGGGTGTCGCTAAGTTGTTAAGGCCTCCGTAAAGTTGCCAAGGCTGGCTTTGAATTTGCAATCCTCCTGCCTCAACCTCTGAAGGTGCTGGGATCATAGACGCGCACCACCGCCCAGCTAAAACAAATATTCATTGAAGAGTTGTATTATTATTATTATTATTATTATTATTTTGATACATGAAAAGGAAATCTTGTAGAAAACTTAAAATTTAGAAAGCAATATAAAAAACACTTAACAATTTCAAGGTCCTGAAATTGCACCGTTAAAGAGTTGATGCCTTTCCCTCCCTCCTTCTTTCTCTACCCATCCACATTTGTATCTATACATTGTGTTGTTGTTGTTGTTGTTTTGTTTGTTTTGGCTTTTGTGCAAGAGGATGAACCCAGGACCTTGGGCATGCTGAGCATGATCCTCAACCCCTACATCCTGCTTTCTCTTTTTGCTATTGAACTACATATGGACTCCAGCGTTTGAGCATGAACCCAAATCCTTTCAAAGACCTCTTATCTGAGCCCATTTCTTTCCCACCCTCACCACCCCGCCCCCCCCCCCCCAACTCAAGCCCCTCTCTGGCTTCCACTAGTACTGCCACAGTCATTGGGCATTACCATCTCCTGACACTTCTGTTGTGTCTGAATTCCAAGGCCGGGTTAGTGGAATGGAGAACTTGGTTTTATATGGGTCCCAGTGGGTCGGAGGGGTCCTTTTGCAGACCCTGGCAAATGCAACTCATGGGACTTTAACTGCCATCAGGGAACTTGTTACCTCACCCACTAGATCCTCCACCAGGACTCAGGTCCAGGATGCTGTTTTTCTCAGTCTTACAGTGTTGCCAAAGACTTCTCCCCCCACCCCTTTGGTACTGGGAATGGAACCCAATGATGCTTCTCCACTGAGCTACATCCCCAGTCTGTTTTTGTTTTTTATTTTCAGACAGGGTCTCTGTTAGGTGCAGGACAGGCTGAGTAAGTTGTCTGCAGAGCATGCCAAACAAAGTTAGCTGCAGGATGACCTGGCCACTCAAACCCTCTGTCTGGTTCTTTATCACCTGTTTGCTTCAAGCCCAAACGCCCAAGCCCCTGCTCAAGACTGAGCGCCCCCCCCCCCCCCCCCCGCCCCTTAAGGCTGAACACTCAACCCGCTGCCTTTCAAGGCCGAGCACTTAACCCCCTTGTGTGCCAACAAGGCAGCTTGCCGACCCAGAGACCCCATTAGATTTGGGCTATAAAAACTCCCTCCTGCAGGGCCCTTCTCTCTTGCTCTCTCTCTCTCTCTTGCTCTTGCTCTCTCTTTCTTCTTTCTCTCTCTCTCTCTCTGCCTCTGTTTCACTGCTGCAATAAAGATCTCTTGGTTGCTCCAAACGTTGTGGTCACTTTCCTTTCAGTCTCTAAATTGCTAAAGCTGGTATTGCCTTAGCCTCCTGAATCATTGGGATTAGAGGTGTGTGCCACTGGGCCAAGCTGCCAAGGATTTCTTGCATAGGCAGACACTACCAGGTAGTGGTAGGTATTCACTTAATTTGTTTTTGAATGAATGGCTCAGCCAAAGGATTGGCTCTTTGCAGCAGACTCGCATTCTCTTGCTAACAAAAGGAGACTTAAAACTCCAGCTACAAGACTGCAGAATATGGATTCTTTTAATCCCAGTCCACTAAAAACTGGTAGCTTCATAAAAGGTTTAGCATACACTTACCATATGACCCAGCAATTCCACTCCTAGGTTTCTACCTGAAAGAAACAAAAGCATATGATGACATAGAGACTAGTACAAGAATAGTCATAGCAGCATTACTGGTAATAGCCCCAAACTGGAAACAATCCAAATATCCATCAAATGGTGACTGGATAAAAAAATATATATATGGTTTATCTATGCAATTGAATATTATTCAGCAATAAATAGAAGTGAACTACTGATACATGCTAAATTTGTATGGACCTCAAAAACATTACACTAAGTAGAAAAAGCTAGATGTAAAAGACCACAGAGTATATGATCCTTTTATATTTAATGTCCAGAAAAGATACATTTATTGAGATAGAAAGCAGATTAGTGATCACCTGGGGCTGGAGTGGAAGAAATCATTAACTGCAGTTTCAAGGCAACTTTTTAGTGATAGAAATGTTCTAAAACTGGATTGCAGTGATGATTGCACACTTCTATACATTTTCTAAAATTAACTGACTTACATAAAGTAGGTGAATTTTGTTTGTTTGTTTGGTACTGGGGATCAGACCCATGCCCTCACATACATTACACAAGTACTCTAGCACTGAGCTACATCCCCAGTCCTTTTTATTTTATTTTGAGACAGGGTCTGCTAAATTGCTCAGGGCTGGCCTCAAACTTGTAATCCTCCAGTCTCAACCTCCTGAGTAGCTGGAGGTGTGTACCACTATCACAGGAAAGCAGGAAGCTGAAACTCCAAATCTTACTCGGTTCTTGTGTTTTGACAAAAGAAAATTTGAAGTCAGACACCAAAAGCCATGCAAGAGACGTTTAATATAAGTCACGGTAGAGTGTGGTGGGGCACTCCTGTAAATCACCTCAGCTTGGGAGGCTGAGACAGGAGGATAGTGAGTTCAAAGCCAGCCTTAGCAAAAAAGCAAGGTGCTAAGCAACTCAGCGAGACCCCGTCTCTAAACAAAATACAAAATAGGGATGGGGATATGGCTCAATGGTTGAGTGCCCCTGAGTTCAATCCCCAGTATCTCCCCCACCTCCCCCCAAAAATTAATTAATTAAAAGTGCTGGGGATGCAGTTCAGTAGTAGAGTGCCCTGGGTTTGACCCCAAGTAATGCCAAGGCAGAGGGAAAAAGAGTTAAGATGGTAAATTGTATTTTATGTATATTTTGCCACAAAGTTGTAAAGAACCATAGAGATATATTTTGTTCTCCCCAAACTATAAAAACGGTCTATTTCAAAGGTCTTGTAAATCAAGACCTTTGTTGACTGGGATTGTAGCTCGGTGGCAGAATGCTTGCCTCACATTCCTGAGGGCTTAGGTTGGATCCTCAGCACCACATAAAAATAGATAGATAGATAAACAAACAAATAAATAAATAAATAAAAATTGTCTTACTCTGCCTCATCTCTCCATTCACTGCCTGCAAATGACCATGAGCTCCATAACCCTAGGAACTAAGTGGTCCTTATTTGTAGCTATATCCACATGGCCTGCCACATTGCAACATTCAATAAACGTTATTTAATGAAGGGACTTGGGGCCTGGTTCCAAACTCTGTTGCAACCACACTTCTATAATATAATAGGTTGTTCTTTTTTTTTTTTTTCTTTTATTTTTTTGTATCAGGGATTGAACCCAAGGGTGCTTAACCCCTGAGCCACATCCCCAGCCCTTTTTATTTTTATTTTGAGACAAGGTCTCACTAAGCTGCTTAGAGCCATGCTAAAAACTGAGGCTGGCTTTGAACCTGCAATCCTCCTGCCTCAGCCTCCCAAGTCGCTGGGATTACAGGGATTTGCCACCACACCAAGCGATGGGTTGTTCTGATTAGTTATGAGACCAGCTAAGTCACCAGTCCAAGTAAAAGGGCTTGGGATTTGTGTCAGTAGTGACTGGTCTAACTATCCCCAAGGATCCTCTCCTTCAAACAGGACTTATAAAGTATTTTTCTATCTTTCAACACAAACACACTCTCAAAATGTTTGGTTGAGAAAAGAATTACACTATAGCCTGCACTGTGCAATAAGAGCTGGTAGATAGATGAGGAGGCACATAGAACCTTCCTGACTTGATCCAAACTCAGTGATGGAAGTGTCTGTGCTGATGTCCAAGAGGGGAGTCAGACCAGGGACCTAGAACAAGTTCTGTGTGACCTTGGGCCAATTCCTTCTCTCCAATGGGTCTCATTTTCCCACTTAACAAGTGAAGAAATGTCAATACTTTGCAGGTGGGGTACAATCAGTCCATTTCTCATTCTGAAGGAAACGGAAACCAGCTGTGAGGGAAGCAAACAAGACAGACTGTCATGAGAATATTCATGTCCTTTTATATAATCATCCCATCCCTTAATATTGATTTTGATGCAATGATCTAAAAGAAAGAAAAGCTGTCTGCAAGAGGATGCATATTGCAGTACTGTTCATCATGGCAAAAAAAAAAAAAAAAAGGAAGCAAATTCATTGTCGGAACAAGAGGAGAATAGTTAATTAGATGATGCTGCAGCCAGGGCTGGGGTGTAATATGGTTTCCATCCTGAGATCTGGAAAAACAAAACAAAACTGTGGCTACTGCATGAGTCATCCAGTCATCAGAGATGAGTATCCTGAAAACTCATATGTGGCTTGAGGGATTCTTGTGATAATCCAAATTAAAGTCAAAAAGAAAATTAATCTACATTGAAATCATCCAAACACAAGATTTAAAAGGACAATAAAAAGAAAATAATGCTCCTGCAGAGAAAGACTGGGATGGAAAGAGTAAAGATGGTAATTTTTACCTTATTTGGATGTTGAATTCATAGGTAACCTCTTTCTCATTTTTCTAGATCTTGTGTACCATTGATGTGTGTGT